GTCTTAGTTGGCTGCGACCTTCTAGAACCGGCAACGGTGATGGTGGAAGCGTGATTGGCGAGGTGCGCGAGGCGGTGCAGCGGCTGTTGAGGTGGTCTCGAAACTGCGAGGCCGCGACATTGATTGGTACGCTTTAGTTGCATGAAGGTCCAGTCCGGGTGGCATGAGTGCCAGTCCCGGCCGGCTGGCATGTCGAATACCGCGTGTGCGTTGTAGCAGGGCAGCAGAAGACGAACATGGCGTTGGTCGTGCTCGCTGTCATCCATTGTCGCCCAAAGAGGCTGGTAGCATCTGGGATGGAAACAGGTGTGTTGAAACAAAGATGACTTGTTTGCAGTGCGCGCTGCCCAATGGACGCAGACTAGATCCTTGCGCATGACGGCGATCCATGGATCGTGGTGGAGAAATCCGAGCTCCGTCCACCGTCTGGCCGAGTGGAGTTGCGATAGACACGCTGTCATGCGACTGACAGATGGCAGGGAGTAGTGACCTTGAAAATCTATGCCGTGGTGCATGCCGTGGTATGCCGTGGAGGCAAGACGGATGGTATACGATGGTACGGCAATGCAGCAGTGTAGTGGCGGCTGAGCCACACTCTACTCCATACCCAGAGCATATCCCACGGCTACGGCCGAATTACACGCATGCAACGCGTGTTCGTGAGGCAAAATGCTTTTCTGCCCAAGAGTCCAACCAAGAGTAAGCTGGGCTGGAAGAGGCTGGGTTCTGGTGCATTTCGCCCACAAATTCGTCACCGTCTGCTGGCATTCCGCTCGGGAGATATATGGGAGCAGGTGTGCTGCTACTGCGTGGTCGCATGCTATTCATCAACCGTAGTGATCTGGCTCCACCTAACCCGACTCACCGCCTCAATATCTGTCTCCCAACCCGGCAACGTGACCCAACTACGAGGCCAGCAGACCCTCTAGTTCCGGCCAGCCTTCCACAAGCACCGTGATTGTCGCAGTACATAGCGGTCGCTGCTGCCGCAAACTCGAGACCTGCAGTGCAGCAATCGTCGTGTCTGTACCAACCCAATATTTCGCGCACTCCACTCCCAACACCTCGACTCCAACCTGCATCCATCTAAAACATACTCGACCGCCTTCGAAACGCGATTCGCATCACGGCTCTATTGGCTGTCAATTTCGCACGCCTAGAGGGCCCTGCGCTGCGTGCAAACCATTGGCTTGGACTTGAAACAGCCTATTCCTGGGGTCCTGCACCTCACCACTCGCAATCTTCCAGGCACCCCAAACCGGCCAAACAGCCGCTGGCCTGAGTCCGGCGTGGCGCGCTACGTAGCTGTTTCCTGTGCGTGAGCTCCATCCATTGGATCCCACACGCAGCCGCCGAACCACCACCCCAAAGGATCCGACCCTCGACTTAGAAACGCATCGCTACCCGCTCAAGGGGTGTGCGAAATAAGTATCACGCCCTCTGCCGTCGATACTTCTTCCTCACAGTCAGTCACCGACTTCACTTCTCCATCCTCCCTTCTTTCCTCCTGTCATCCTAGCGGTGCAGGTACCATTCTCCACACTCCGGCAGTGATTCGCGCTCCACCACCGACTTTCCCTCCGACTTCCCAGACTGGCAGCGCCATCTCCCGTAAAATTTCAATCGCTTTGCACCTTCCGACTGGACTCGGATTCTTCACCTTCACCTTAATAATTGCTGCCTTGCCTCCTCTGCCGACTCAACCTCGTTGTCAGCCACGCAGCCTCGGACTCCCGCTTACCATCGCTCAGACCGGAATTCCGACTACGCCTCACTACAGGGCATACACGGCAACCACATACAGTTCGACATTCACTTAAGACTTCATATCACCGCCAGGACTACTACTCCATCAACATCATGCCTTACTCACCAAACCTCGTCGCCGAGAACCAGGCTGCCCTGGACCACTTCATCCAGCTCCCAGTGTCACATGACATGATCTCGTACCTTGCACAAAAGGCCACACAAGTCATTCGCTGCGAACCCTCAATCAACAAGAACCTCCCTCCTACACCACCAGCGTCGCCTCCTCAGCATGCTGCCTCGAACATCCGCGAGCCTGCCCTGCCATCAGTAGAGGAGTTCATCACATCCATCGTCGAGAGGTCACATGTCCAGACTGCCACCCTCATGACTTCGCTCGTCTACCTCAGCAGGTTACGATCGCGCCTTCCTCCTGTTGCCAAGGGCATGCGATGCACCGTCCACCGCATCTTCCTCGCCTCCCTCATCCTTGCGGCTAAGAACCTCAACGACTCCTCGCCCAAGAACAAGCACTGGGCCAGGTACAGCGCTGTTCGCGGCTACGAGAACTTTGGCTTCTCCCTCACCGAGGTCAACCTTATGGAGAAGCAGCTTCTGTTCCTCCTTGACTGGGATCTCCGCATCAACACTGAGGACCTCTACTACCACCTCGAGCCCTTCCTAGCGCCCATCCGTGTCTGGCAATCTCGCCAGGCCGAGAAGGCCAGGCTCGCAGAGAAGGAGAAGGAGCTTGCCCGTCAACAATACCAGCTCACCGCCGAGAACCTCTCGCGCTCAGTCAACCCATATGCCTCGCAATCCTCCCTGTCTTCATATGCTCCTCGTCCCCAGAGGCAACCACGCTACATCCCATCCTCCCGCGCACCATCGCGTACCCCATCTCTATCACCACCCACCCGAAGCTCCTCGGTCTCCACCTCTTCGGAATCACCCGTCAGCCTCCACGACGAGCCCTCAGAAGCGATCCTCCAGCGCTACGACGCAGACCAGGGCGCCAACGTTGTATATATCAATGGCCCTCACTCGTACGCGCCCAAGCAGCAACACGCACTCCCGCTGTACGACACTCAGCCCTCAAAGAAGGTCAAGACCTCCGCGGGCGGCATCTTCAGCAGGATGTTCGGCCAGACCGGCGCCTATGCCGGCCGCCAGACTACCTATTAATGCTATTCGCTATTCCACCACCCTCGCTTCAACAGCCTAACGACTTTCCTTATTGTTCCCCAATGACATGATCTGATGAAAAGATGCTCACTGGATGGACATCTCTTCGCCCATCTCGTCATCAACTCTTCTTGCATCAGCAGGCGTTATTACACAATCTCAGCATTTGCATAGCACAGCATTGTACCGGCGTTGGGATATCATCATCAAATCGAAATCTTGAATCGCATCTATATTGCGATTCTCGGCGCAACCGCCTCATAGTAGTTCAGCTCTCTAGCTTTCTCAGCCCACAAATAACTATATACCGCGGGTATCTGACTTGTCAGATACTTGGCGAGTAATGGGGAAAAGGAAAAATAAAACATTTTGTTCAAAACACAATTCTTCCGTCTCTTGATTCCGTTTCCGTCTCCGTCTCTCCGAGGTCATCTTGGCAACGGGCGTTCTGTGATAAATGACTCCCGTTTCTCCCTTCGCGGTTCGCAATTTCCGTAAATTGGGGTCTGACATGCGCGCTAGTGTGTGGGACGGGTATCTTATCTAGCTAGTGCGGACGGAATCACTTACAGATAGGTCCATGGTTTGGTGGCGCACGTCTTTCTTGACACGATTCATCAATACGCTACTTTGTGGATGCGGCATGAGAAACATTATGCGATGCGAGAAATATTGGACGCAGGGCGATCTATCGTTGCGGTAATTCGCGCGATGCGGTAGATGAGGATAGGCTGTACGTGTGCATACAGCCTGGCATAAAATCTTCTATCCATACCTATACACAGCATTGAGTACACCGGTCACTACTGCTACACAACTCCACAGTACAGCCACAACGCCATACGGCACCTTAGTAAAATTTATACCCGCCAACTCGTGATGATATCCAGTCGTTCTGCCTTGTACGACGCTTTCTGCGGGCCGCATGCGCAGCCACAATAGGCTGACCATCTTGCCGGCCACACATGACGCTTTAAACGAACACCTCACCTGTATACCTGCTACAAAGCCTTCGCAGCCAATATATCTCTAGCTGAATGATGGGTTTGAGGACGGCTGAGTCGCGCCGGTCAAGCAGGAAGGGTGCCTCACAACCTCCATGCATCCTCGTGATGTTCGGATCCGAAGCCAATGAAGCCCACCAGAATCCGCATCAGCGAATATGGCATGTCCCACACCTGACCCTTAACACGCAACCAGTCACACAATCTTTACCTCGGCATCTCACCCAAGCTATCTACCGATCTAAATCCACAAAATGGCAGATACGATGGATGCAACGGCAAAGATCACAATATACGATATGCAGGAGTCAAGGAGCTGTAGATCAAACGGGTTGTGAGTGGCAGAAGAGGAACGCTAGGCCTGTTTTGGGCATGGTGGGGGGTTTCAGGTGGGTGGCTTGGCGGGGGGCTGTTTGGGTGTGGTTGGTCGGTTGGAGGCAACCGAGAAGGAGGGAGGGGAGTTGTGAAGGTCGGTATTTGCTGGAATTTGGATTGGCTTGAAGGTGGATCTGGGTGGATGGCAGTGACTCATTTTGATGCGCATGCAACTGCGCGTTGGAAGGTGGAGAATGTAGATTGTAGGTGGTGATGTCATCGGCTTCTGCTTACCTTACGGCTGTGATCGGGTGGGTCTCAGCGTGCGACGCGGTCGTGTTATGTGTTATGCACGATGCCCTTCATCCTTCTGGTTATACTCGAGTATACGCGTTCCAGCTCATTGGACGGCCAGCGATGTGCTCCAGTTTTCTTGCGATGCGCCAGATGAACCGTTCACCGGGTTTCAATGGCGCAACACCTTGCGGCTCCCAGACCTAGGTACCTGGGACACTTGAGCCACGATACCCAGGTACCTTCGGCAACCATCGCCCGAAGCTCAGTTAGCAGAGGTCCTATGTCTTTCAGTGCATACGAAACTGCACAATGCTTTAAGGCCTATATTCATGCTCCGCTCCTACATCGAGTAACACGCATTACCTGCCAACCCAACAAGAGCAGCACAAGAACGCAACCAGGGGAACCCGTCGTCCTCTAGCTGAATATCTGCACAATATCGATATCTCGTCCTTGTATAAGATCATGCACATCTGAAGAATTATGTGAAGACTTACCGCATGCAGCCACGATCACAGTGGATCCTTCGTCTCAGGCATGAAATCTCGCCGCACCTGATACAACAACTGTCAACACTTGCCTGGTAACACGGGTAGCCTGGCATGCCAATGCCAAACACTCAACCACCGTCTAAGATGGCCAACATCAGGATTCCTTTCGCATTTCGCATCTCGTCGCTCGTTCTTCATCCACCTTGAAGGTTTTTCTTTCCTTTCGTAACCGCTGGCCGGTCCCTTTTTCGCTCGTTTTTTTTAATCTTTTGTAATGGTCCGGCAATTCACCTTTTTACCTGGAGATCGGAGGGATACTGGAGATGATGGCAGGACGATGCGGTACAGCCATTGGGGACGGTATAATACTTTCTATGGACTTTCGTTTACGACGACGCTTTCGACGGTCCTTTTGCTGGCGCAGCTCAACGAATGCAGGGTTACGGGTCAGCTCTTTACTCTTGCGAATAGGTTCCCTGGTTCCGCTGCGTTAGTTGTTCAGCTCCTCGCCGCTTTCTTCGGACTTTTGCATCTCGCGGTCATCTGCAAGCTCATCAACTATGCCCTGCGGTTACGTCTCAACAAGGTCAGCGTTTCCCTTGATGTGTTGCGCACTTGGGTAGATATGAGCATCATGCGCGTGGATTGGGACTTGCCTCTACGGTTCTTCTTTCCCTCCGTCTTCGTTGTTCTTCTCAGCCTGGTGCCCGCGGCGCTTTGGGCTGGTTCGATGACACCATCGGTATCGCGGACGGTGGACAGCGGGATGCTGTTGATCCCAAGCTACGAGGATGTGTCGATGATCAAAGAATATCCGATGATGATTGGCAGTTCGGGACCGTCACTTCGCACGCAAAAGGGCTTCTTCACGTATTCAGTTGGCCAACAACAAAGCAGTCAGCTTCTAGCATCAGCGGCTCAGGCGTCTTCTTTGGGTGGAGGGCCCCATGTCCATCGCAAACTCGACAACACTCAATTCAGCTATCGAGGCCGTTCATATGGTGTCGGTGCGTCGATCGGATTAATGGACCAAGGAATCAGGTCGAACAGCCAGGTCGCGGGATACATCTACCAGGAGGAGGGCTATCTGGCAAACGTCACCTGCACGTACAACACGACTTCCAACTTCACTCTTTCCGGACCAGTCAACGAATGGATCTATGCAGCTTCCGGCAACCTTCCCGACAGTGAAGAGGGTCCGGAGTACTCAAACTACATTGGTCACGACGGAAAAGCCATCGTAGCAATGGGCGTAGCGTACAGCGACCGCTCGCCTCGCCGCTACCTCGCCATCGCTGCAGGCTCAGCCTACTCCTTTCTCAACACCACACAATGCGAATTCGACTTTACTCCCACCCTATTCAACGTCACCGTCGACGTCGGCAATCTCAACATCACCGTCAAGCCCGTGCGCACAATGCCCGATTTCAATCCTCAGCGAAACGTCACACGCACGGTTATGCGGCAGTTCGAGCTCATGTCTAATGACATGACGAACTTGTATGTATCGCTGCTTGGCGAAGCGTTCAACTCCAGTATTGCGGCATACAAGATGTCAGAGACGTTCAATAACCGGACGTTTACTCAAGAAGAAGCGACACTCGCGGGTCTCACCAATAGCATGGTTGCTATGGCTGATGACATGCTGGTTGCGTATGCCTCTGCGCAACTCATGGTTGGACGCATGTTCACTCAGCAACCAGCCAAAGTCTACGTTTACGCGTTGCAATTTGGTCAACCAAGTTACATCTACGCTATTTTCACGCTTAACCTTGTTATTATCCTTGCTGTTGTGTTTGAGGCGGTGCGCACAGCAGCGTGGTCTGCGCTGGGTCGATTCAACTACCTTGATCCCCGCGATCTCATCATTGCTGCATCCAGGGGTGGAGGCGACATTGCAGCCGCAGCCGATGACATCATGGAGCGGAGAGAAGGAAGGAGGATGAAGCATATCTGGCTGCTGAGCGACCCCGACGGCGGCAACGGTTCCCTCATCGTCAACTTACGGGGCGACCAAGACGGCCATGTCAAGATCGAAGTGGGCGCTGGGCAATGCAACAGAGACACAGAGAGCGCATACCCACCAGACGAAAAGAGTATGTATGTGGAACATGGCGCTGAGACAGAGCGGGGACCATTAACACCCAAGACACCTTTGAAGATGAAGGTTGGCATTTTTGGTTCAAAGCAGTGAGAGACATTAGTTTAAGATATCTTGTCTTGTTACATGTTAGACGCACTGTTCGGCGCTTGGTGCGCTTTGTGGATTTGGTCGAAAGAAGGTATTTAGATCAGCTAATGAGACTTTACTGAGACTTTGTGGTACGGTCAGATTATGGGCATGTGTGAACGTGACTGACTGATGCTGGAACGTGACGGGGGAGGGTATGTGAGTGATGAGTGAGTTTGGGCCAGAGGATGGGAGATATAAGAGGATGGGGAGTTAATGATGAGTGGACATCAACACATCACCACTACCATCTCACAGTACAACACAACAACCACTCAACATCCAACCCACCCAGCAACAACCCTCGTCCATCAATATGTCATACTCACCACCACGCACCACCCTCCTCGCCACCCCCTCCCGCTCCCGCGGCGACCTCATCGCAAAATTCCACTCCTTCTTCCAGGAAGCCCAAACCAACCCCACACTCTCACCCCACGTCTTCGACGCCTGGTTCTTCACTCTAACTACAGAAGACCGCGCAACCGTCCACGAAATCCTCCAACCGCTGAACAACGCCAGCTGGCCACAGGATGTTGAGTTCCCCAACATCATCGCGCTGGTGCACTGGACGCGTGACCACCGTGAGGGAGAGAAGACGCAGAAAATTGTAGAGCACATGGAGGATTTGCGTAAATCGAATGCTGGAACCACCCAGCCTGAGCCCGAGCCACCCGTTCCTGGACCGACCCGCCCTGGAGGTATCGACGATGAGCCGCAGGCCATTCCTGCCCGCCCAATGGAATTCATGGCAGTCGTGATCATGGTATTGGCTCCGGCTTGGTTGGTACGTCTCCTGGCCGCTCTACTTTTGCTTCTACAACATGTCTAACCGTGTACGACGTCTCTAGATTGGTATGGCATTGCATCGGCGTTATTTCCGGTAGTTTCTGCACTTCAGAGTTCGATATAGAACTGCTCTGAGGAGTTGGAGTTTGCGTCGTTTTCTTTCTTTACAAACACCCACTAGTAGACTGTTGTTTTGTTGTTGTCTTTCATTCATGTCGTCTTTGTGGTCTACTGTGGTTTCTTGCCGTTACAAACATGTCTTGGTAGGCGTTGTTGGGGTTTCTCGCATTCTTTCTTGTACTTACAAACATAGACAATAGACAAACCGGCGATGTTCGGGATTAAAACAGTGTACTTCCTGTGTGTGTGTGTGGGCTTCATCCGATAACATCATCCATCATACACAAATACCTTACAAGAACAACTCTCAACAACAAGATACCAACCATGTCCAACAACAACAAGAACACCAGCGCCGCCAGCGCCGCCACCATGAAACAGCGTCTAGCCTACTACGAGAAGTCTTGCAAAAAGGCAGAGAAGCGCATCGAGAAGAAGAAAGCCCTCGACACCAAGCTGGAGGAGGAGTTCAAGGCCCTTGACAAGCAGCACCGCGAGGCCAAACACGCACCGACTAGGGATATGAAGCGCATCGAAGCCTTGGATGAGGAGATCAAAGAGAACCATGCAGAAGTTAAGACTGAGGCTAAGCGAAACGTTCAACTGTGCAAGGACTACCAAAAGCTGATCAATATGAAGAACGGGTCGGAGGCGGAGTTCATCGCTAGTGTTACGAAGTATATGAATGCAGAACCGGAGCGTGACGGCGGAGATGACGAGGATGGAGAGGGAAAAGGAGAAGGAGAGGGAGAGGGAGAGGCTGCCTAGGTCGAGCCGAGAGGTACGGGGTATGTATACGGGGTCTGGTGGTTGGCATAGTAGTCTAGAGTAGCTTATTTTCGCTCTCTCATTGACATCAGAGGTCGACTTTGTGCTCGCTCAAGGCTTTTCCTTAGAAAATGCATGTCTTTACATGACACTTGTGGGGATTTTCGCAACGTGAAATTGATACAGCCTCATCATCCGACAGTGGACGTGAGCATATTGAAAGCCATGTGATCGCGTTGAGAAGAATAATCAGCGTTGAAAGGCAAATGAAAGTACAGACAGTAAGCTATGCGAACGCTAAAGACATGAGGTGAAAACAACGATAACAACGATCAAGCACCCCGGTCCACCATGTCGCTGGTCGTGCCCAAGCTTCAAGTGCTCCCCTCAAGCATTTGGTCGCAGTAACCGCGGTACTTGATGAAGATGACATTCAAGCCCAACTTGGCCATGACCGCCGCTGTGAGCAGCTCCCGAACATTGTCGCATGACTCAGCGTGAAGATCGCAGAGATCAGCGACGCACATGAGCCTCTGACCTGAATTGCCGTTGAGGACAGAGATAAAGTCGCAGGTATCAGTGTTCTCATTGACCCAGTCTTCGTAACGCTCGTTGGTAAGCGTGAAAGTGGCACGAAGTAGGTCGGCTACGTCATCGCAGTTGACTCCGGGGATTTCTGGGTCGCACAGCGAATTCAAGCAGATCTTTTCTTCATTGAGCTTGACGACGAAGGATTCAAAATCCGTCGGGAGAGGCTGGATGCTCGCGTGCATCGGCGCCGCGATAGCCCCTGCGCAGAAGCAACTATCGTTGAAGTGTCCGCAGAAGTCGCAGTCAGGTTCGCACTCGCATGAGGCGGCCCGGGAAATCACTGGGGCATCGATGGCTGGGAAAACTTTCTTCATCTCCTCCATGACCTCCTCGCATGGGAAGCCCATCAGGAGTGAAGCATTCACGGGGTCGCAGACTGTGGGATATAGGGCGCGAGCGTAAGACTCCAGTGCTGATTCATCGCAATCGTCGACTCCAGTGTGGTACCTCCGAACGATGTCGCACAGTGCTGAGTTTGTTGGGGGTTGTGAGGTTGTTACGTGCGTTGGCTCAATGACGCCTGGAGTGTTGCGAGGAGTCGCAGGAACGCGACGCCGTGCTGGATAAACGACCCTGGCTAGGCATGGGCTGAGTTTTCCTTTTCTTGGCTCATTGCAATCTGGGCATTCTGTTTCGCGAGGTGCAGGCGCAGGTGCAGGTGGTGTGAAGAAACCCAGGCGCGACATGGCGGAGCTGGTCTCCGTTATCCTTGGCCTTTCAGGAATTATTGGTCCTGACCCTGCTAAGTCGGTATTCTCTGGCCTGGGCGGAAGAATCACTGACGATGTGGGCGGCGCCAGTATGAATCCGGGGGTGGATTCATCGGAGAACTCAGCGGTCATGCCCATTGTATACGTGAACTTTATGGTATGCGCCTCCCGCGATTCGTGGTCGTCTGTGTCTGAGTCGGAATCGGAGTCGGTATCCTCGGCCACATGATTTGGAAGGCTGCCCGTGTGAACTTCAACGCGGTCTACATCTCGTGTAGGGCGGATGTATTGGTAGTCGTAGCACGACTTGATATCGGCAAGAGACGTGGAATCTTTCAATGTAGTTTGGCGTGTTGAGGTATCGCATAACACAAGCTCAATGTTGTCTTTAGGGGTGCAAGGATGCGACTCTACCTGTGCGGAGCCGTAAAAGCTCTGATGACAGCTGTGTAAAGCGAGCTTGTCATGGAAGGGGGTACCTCGAGCCGGAGACAGGTCGACCCAGATCTTGTCGAGGTCTTTCGTGTCAATCGAGTAGGCGAAGTCCATCTCGTCGGCTAACTTGTAGATACCGTTGAACTTGTCAGAGATCTTGATGGCGACGCCGGGGTTGGTGGGAGACCCAAAGCGCCATGATTCTTGGTATTGACCACCAGGTTTGAGAGGGACGTTGTCGGTGAGTGAACTGCTGAGGTACTGGGGTACAGACCAGATGTAGACTGTGTATGGGCAATGGTTGGTGACGATAGCTCTGGCCTGAGCCAGAGCCGCGAGTGCGAGGACGGAGAAGGCTTTTCCGAGCATTGTGTTAGAAGGGTTCGGGGTGAGAGATGGTGCGGTCAGCAGTAGCAGTAGAAAGCACTTGAGAAGGGGTTGGAGAAGAAGAAGAGAGTCGGGATGGGAGGTGGAGTTTATGAGCGGTACAACGTGTGTTTACGTGTCGTCATAACGAACCCAGGAAGTCGTAACAACGCTCGTTACTCCCATGTATTAAACAGAGTTGGGGAGGAGCGTCGGATGCCTTGGAAGGTAGCACCAGCATTTCGTGAGATCTTCCAAGCCTATTGCTACTCTAGCTTTCTGTTAGACACCCAGGAATATGGATGCGCAGTCATTTGAAGATGCACCAGCTACCGCAACTGATTTGTAGTTGCTAGCAACTTGTAACCTGTCCTTCGGGGTCCATGGTGCTCGCTCATGCAGGTGGAAGGGCGATCACGATCTCGCAAGATCGCTTTCCTGGAGCAGCAGGTCGAAATCAGCAATCGCCTTCTCATTGCCAGTATGAACTGCCACCATGTCTGGCGAAGGAGACCACGATCGGTAGCCACGGTCCGTCAAAGGAAGGCCGGCATCTGGTGATCAGGAGATGGAGTGTGTCAGCGCACGGCGGTGATATTTGCCCGCCCTGACCGTGATTCGGCAGGAAGGGACCCCAGCATCGCGTTATCACCACAAAAACGGTTGCGCAGGCCGCCATGCACGGTGACTAGTTTCTTGGATTTCATGATGGTTGCTGTACTGTGGGTTTGGGGTTGGTGTGGGAAGATGAGCACGGCGAGAGAAGTCGCTTACTCAGCCCCTCACTCTCAGCTTGAAGCACTCCGGCTAGCGTGCTGGAGACCTGAGGCGCGAATGAAACACTGCAAACCTCAGCATCAGCAACAGTACAATAAGAACAAGATGGCCCCGTATACTTTTTGCGCAGTTTGCGCATTCTCACATATCTCACTTTTCGCTCCCGGGTAGCATTGTCGCTGTGATATATACATACAACGTCCGATTCGCGTCCAAGCCTCGAATACGCGCCGACGCGCCCCACCATCCTCCATGATTCAACAATCTTCTTGTATCGACATGCCCACCATGTCTTCCGCGATACGAGAAGTGCCTGTTCAGCTACCGAAGAGCTTCGACCGACCCGACGAGCCATGGCACCACTACATCAACATCGATCTGATATGGTACGTTCTCGGATACACGGTCTTCCATCCGTTTGTATCATGGGTTGTGGTACTGTGTCTGCGCGCGCAGTATACACCCTATGAGAACATCGAGATGCGCATCGCCATGGCTTGGGCCATGCTCATGACCGTCACCGGCATCTTCGGACTCATCAGCGACCGGATCGCGTGGGGATCTCCGCGCGAGGTAGACCTAGAGGAAGAAGTTATTGTCATCACGGGCGGTGTTGACGGTCTCGGCGGTCTGCTGGCAGAGACCTATGGAATGCGCAATGCCAATATCGCTGTCCTGGATATGAAGGAGGTCGATGAAGACGAGGCGGAGAACAAGGGTGTCGTTTACTACAAGTGCGACGTGAGCGATGCAAAGCAGGTTGAAGCCGCCGTAGCCAAGATCGTGGACGACGTGAGTATTCCTCTACTAGGAGATCGCGCTCTGCTAACGACGATAGCTCGGCGCTCCCACTATCTTGATCAACAACGCTGGTATGGTGCAGACCAAGTCAATTCTCGACTCAACCGCTGAAGATGTGGAGCGGTATGTATACTCTAGAATCCTTATTGACATCTGCTGACAACTCAACAGCACCTTCCGCGTCAACACCCTGTCACAGTTCACCACCCTCCGTACAATCCTCCCGCACATGCTGAAAGAAGGCCGCGGCACCATCGTGACAGTCTCCTCCGTCCTCGGCCACCTTGGTGCAGCCAACCTGTCCGCATACACAGCCTCCAAAGCGGCCCTCCTGGCGCTGCACCAGTCTCTACGCGCAGAACTCGCACAAAACCCCGCCGCAAAGGACATCAAAACAATCCTCGTACAACCCGGTCAGATGGGCACAACAATGTTTGCAGGCCTCAAGACTCCGAGCAACTTCCTAGCGCCTGTTGTCACGCCAGCCGATATCGGAAAGGACATCATCAAGCTAATCGAGAGGGGTGAGAGTGGCGAGATTGCGCTTCCTCTATACTCCAAGTATATTCACATCCTTGGAGTACTGCCTGTCGGCGTAAATCATCTTGTGCGCAAGTGGAGTGGAATGGACAAGGCTGTTGGCAAGATGGGTGAGGCAAGGCAGAGGCAGAATCTGACGGAGAAGAAATAATGGGCTTGCTCATACCCACGATACAATGACATATAGAGCAGATGGTCTCCGACTCTTGTACAATATACGTTTCAACGATCTATGCGACTAAAGGTCGTATGCGACTCTACTGGCTTCCCTTATTCAATTCTGCGATCACACTTCCAGCAGCATACTTTGATTACGATATGTGTTTGCATCGTTGGGCTAAGCACACCAGTACACCCAATCAAATTATACCAACGTTCACATGTGAACGATGGTTTGCGGGACCACTAGCGTCGTAGGGCTGATATTAGCGAGCGCTCGCACATCTCGACCCTGAAATCGCGACGACGACATCATCATCACCACAGGAAATTGTAAGAAGATACGGAACTATTTTGTTCTGTGTAGTAAAGTTGCACGCGACGCATACTAATTGATTTTCAGACCCTCTGTGCCTCAAATCAACACAATGGCCGACCAGAAAGCATCCAAGTACTACGCTGCCGAGGAGGAGGCGCAGATGAAGAAGGTATGCGCATTCCTCGAGATGGATTTTTACTGGGGAAAATATGCGCAAAAGCGTATGTTGGAGTTGCCGCGAATTTCGAGCTAACAATCCAATCCACAGGCGCGCAAGACAGCCCACCCCACCAAATACCGCGAGTCGCTCGCCCCAGGAACTGTCCTGATCCTCCTCTCTGGCCGTTTCCGCGGCAAGCGCGTCGTGCTCCTACGCCAGCTCGAACAGGGCGTCCTCCTCATCACCGGCCCCTTCAAGTCCAACGGCGTCCCATTGCGTCGCGTCAACCACCGCTATGTCATCGCGACCTCGACCGTCGTCGATATCGCTGGCCTGGACGAGGAAGTCGTCGCACGCGTCAGCAAGGACGAGTACTGGGCGCGCGAGAAGAAGGACGGTAAGGGCGAGGACGACTTCTTCAAGGACGGCGAGACACCCACAAAGAAGGAGACGGATCCTCAGCGGATAGAAGACCAGAAGAAGGTGGATAAGGCGCTTATGGCTAATATCAAGAAGACTCCTGATCTGGAGTCTTACCTGGGTGCTAGCTTCGCTTTGAGGAGCAGCGATAGGCCACATGAGATGGTCTTTTAGGCGTTAGCACGAGAACGCGACGTGAACGAAGCAAGGACGAGACGAGACGAGGTCGAGACGAAAACGAGGCGGATATCTGCGGCAACGGTCCGACCGCGAACAACTGTTCGGACGAGGATGAGCACCCGGACGCTACGAGCGATACGGTACGATTTCATATGTAGATGAGATACCCATGAACCAAAATCTTAGCACCAACTCCCTCTTGCTCGCATCTTCGCGAACGATTACAAACACCCTGGCGATATTCATTCCGCTAACATGCCCACTTACATGAGTATCGCAATTGGTATGGATTCATGATCTGCCATTGTATTTTTCGATACTGACCTGATCCAGATCAACGTACTGTGGTGCAATTGCAGTACCTGCCTAACATTATGTGTAATACAGCTTTGCCCTTGGACTTTTGTGGCTTGTACAGAGTATGTACACATAGAGCGACGGGTGGCTCTGCGAAAGTTATTTCTGGTCTCGGGCGGTGCCCCTAGATCTGTATCCCTTGAATTAACGAATAGCGCACCCTGTATTGCAGGTGGTGTGGCAGCTAGGAGCGTGCCAAGTAGCGAGCCTATTGGCACAGTCGTACAGCGGGTATTTGGGGGCCAGGGGGCCTTGATCTACAGCAGCCTTGTTAAACAGCTCGCATCCAGGTACGTATAGATCGTCATCCTTTCTGAAGTACTTGATTTATCGTCCATTCTCTGATTTTCTTTAACCATGGAGAATGGTCTCCTCAACGAGCATGAGAAGGAGTCTCATCCTGCACAGCCCCCACGTCAATCCTCATGGAGAACCGGATTCTGGCGGCGCTTTCCCCATTCTGGAGTTTTCGCCCTTGTCGTTGCGCTGGCTGCAACGGTCAGCATGATATACATCATCGCCACATCAGACGGTCAGCCCATTACCTCCTGGAAATATCAACCCACTGTGTGCCTCGCTATTTCATACACGATCGCGAACATTGCGCTGCAATATGGTCTCGCGCAAGCTGTCACGATTGCCTGGTGGGTAAAGGCCTTGAAAGGCAACGCGAAAGTCAAGGATCTGCACAATATTTGGTCGTTCGGACATGGTGTTGTCCCCATACTGCGATCGGGGCGGTCTTTTAATCTTGTCGCTCTGGCTGGACTCGCTGTCACCCTGGCGCCCATTAACGGACCTCTTTTGCAACGCGCTTCCGTCATCCACGAACGAACGCGGGTCGAGATGAAGAATATCACTATAGCCATCGCGGAAGAGATTCCCCTGGGCTATACTGGTGTGAGCAGCAATCTTGAGCAGCCTACTTTGATGTCGCCCTCGTTTAGCGAAATCGCCAAGCAGCATACTGATGGCCGATCTATGAATGTCTCGGGTTCAGGCTGTGAAGGCTTGTGCAAAGGCACATTGCGTGGCGCCGGCTACGATATGCGTTGTGTCCAGGATAGTATCGGCAATTATAACTACTCTGCTTTTGGGGGTAGTTTCAACACGAAGGCAGATATCTTTTGGTCAAACTTCACCGCCTCTCGTCTCTTCGAAGGTCAAGAGATAATCATGAACTTCACCGCAATCTACAAAGGAGACGAAGGTTGTGATGCGCCGATCAACAGAACCAATTGCGAGCTGCGGCCCGCCACTATGGACTATCCCTTCATATTGAGCAACGATTCAATCACTCTGGACCCAGATAGTTCATGGAAATCAGACCGAGTTCAGGCCCTTTACTCACCTTGGATTGACTCGGATTCCGACTATCTAGTTCAAAGCACTCATTCTGGTGTGTATCTATATTTAGATGCTCAGTGGCAATCGAACATGTACACCTACATTGCTGGGGGCCCTCTAGGCTGGAGAGGCTACACTTCCGGGACGACTGTACTCAGATATATGAGCGACTTTGCGGGCCTAGAATCCGGCTTTTGTAACATGACGCTTCCAGATCCAACATCCGACGTCTTGACGTCAGTACGCGAGCTGGCCTTCCGAACCGCCCTATACATACCTCAAACAAAGGGTGATATTATGAAAGTGAATCCGGAACCTCCAATCGAATATCCATACTCCCCATTCGTACCGTTGAATGAGGCGGAAAGGAAGCGTACTTTCGAACAAACGATCGAAATCGAGCAGACCACACAAGAAGTCGTGTTCAAGAGTCAATACCAGTTCCTCGCCATTGCCATCGGCATCACGCTAGTAGCCACGGGCTGTGTTCTCACGGTACTGGCGGGATGGTGGCATCTAGGCCGCGAGGTGTCGCTCTCGCCCATCGAGATTGCAAAAGCCTTCAACGCGCCGCTTCTTGCAGAGTCACATCCCAATGCAGAAGTTATAAGACTGCTGAAGGAATGCGGCGGGCAAAGATTGAGATACGGAGTAGTGTGGGAGAATCCTGACTATCCCGTGACTTCGATACCGACGCTGAGACTGGAGAAGACGGAGCTGTGTGAGAAACCGCGGCATGGACAGGTGGTAGGTCATTAGCCTTCCCTGTGCGGAAGAGTCGCACAGATTATCAGAATGCGAGTTTCGACGTACCTAGGTCTTAAGATTGATACGTTCAGATGATGCATCGCTCTTGCGTATCTTCAATTGTTCGAATGACACTCGTCTCTCGAAGAAGCACCTGCTTTATGAGAGAGTGTGATGGTGTCACCTTATGCTGAGGACGTGAGCTCCTTTCTTCATTCGTACATCTACTGCCTCGTGACTGCTCCTTCAAGAAAACATCGTTTCCTTTGCGATAAGATGAAGTCATGGCATGTGGATACCATCAGGCCATGCGATAAGGTAACGGAAATGCCGCTGCATGACCTTACTCTCGTGTCAGCTACATGTCAGCCACACTCCCTTCGACATTACACTCTATCACACCCTTACCTACGCACTCTCTTCCGAATAACAACAGTCCGATGCTACACCTCCAGGAGTTAGCCCAGGACGCCAGCGATCAAGCCAGTCCCGGTAGTCACGAGACACGCGGTTCCTACAGTGGTACTACTCGTAGTGTTGTGTCCGATGACAGCGCACACGATGTGTGTGACTTCCTCAACGTGATAAGCATTGCAGCTGACCAAAGACCACAGGAGAAGCTTGCACAGTTCCTAGTATCGTCTATGAATGATGACACCAGTACGAGTAGTCCGCTCAAAACGTTGTGCAGGGATATGGAACAGCCGGTGTACTCATCACTAGGGGATCGATGTAACCCCACCTCACCCTGCCTCAGTTTCCTAGACTGACATGAGCCAGACAAGTATCGGTCCGCCGATGGTAGCAACAACGATATCCATCTGCCTAACGTCGGCAAAGCCGGTTCTTACTACGCACGCATGGTCATCCCAAGGCATATACCTACAAAGCTTCCCGATCCAGAGCTGCTCTTTGATACACTGCTCGCGCGAGAAGTCAAGCCAAAGCCGCACCCTAGTCAGCTATGGAGTCTATTCTTTGCCTTCGCAGCTGTCATGATCTGTGATGTCTTTCAAACAGGCGACGAAGATAACGATGTGGCCATGACGTCTTCATACCTGGACCTATTGTCCCTATACGGGGAGTCCGATGAAACACAGGGTTCGGTCCGTACTTTCGTGGATGGAAAGTTGAAACCTGACGCATTCGCTGATACAAGGATACTCAGCCGGCCAGCAGCAGTAAGACACAAGCTCTAGTTCGTTGAGTAATTGCTTATCATCAGCAGTCCTGCGCTTTGATTGTATGCTTCTCTCGGTTTCACAACATTGTTGTCGAGCAACTGGCCATCATCAATGAGAACGGTCGATTCAGCCCTCCCTGCAACGCGACTGGCATTGACACTGGTTTCTACAAGAAAGCTATCAGCAAGCGTGATAACGACCTCTTTCACACTGCACGGCTGGTAACGACGGGTTTGTACATCAATATCGTCCTCAAAGACTACGTGCGCACCATCCTCAACCTACAGTGCGTAGATTCCTCAGTGACGTTAGATCCACGAGTAAAGATAGAGGGTATCATTGGGCAGACAGATTTCGACAACCACTTCCGCGACTTGATGTTCTTGGTGAGCCAATCGTCAAAAGCGATCCACTTCTTCCTGTCTGTCTCGTAGATGTGGACTGTCACGGCAGTCGGTGGCGAGCCATTCGGCAAAATGGTAACCCACTTCGCCTCTTTCTTACTGTCTTTCTCTACGACTTCAAAGTAGTAAGACTTGATATCGGAGAGATTCATATGAGGCGGCCAAAGCGGAGGCACGTCGTTCACAGGCCTGATGTTGGCTCGCAGGGCGAAGGCAGCGAAGTCGTGTTTCTTCTGCGCAATCATAGTATGATAGATCTCGGCGAGAACGGGGTCGTTGAAGTGGCAGCCCTTGTTGAACTCGTACGTGGTCTCGTCCGTGAAGCGGCCGACTTGTCCGTCGCGTGGACACTGCATCATCACGAGCGCGTCGGTGGTCTTGTTGTTGCGCGCATCGGGGAGAATGCGGTTGTACTTGCGAGGGTACTCTGCGAAATCATTGGCTAGAGGATCGAAGACTGCTAGGCGGCTTAAGAAGAAGGTTGGTGCTGCTGCGTTGAGCTTTGCGGACTTGACGGGTACGAAGGGGGTTGCTGTGGCGGTAAGCTTCGAACGCTTCGCGTCACCAGCCGCTTCGAGGAAGTTGTCAGGGTTGAGTCGTTGGGTGTCGGGGTTGAGATTCGCCGTATTCGAGGGGAAAGTGTTGTACTCGTGTTGCCAGTGCTCGTAAGAGTGATATGGTGAGCTGGAGGGGGTCATCTTGAAGCCGCTTGAGTAATGTTGGGCTGAATAACCGTTATAGCCGACGAGCGACTATACATGAGGACTCCAATGCTGAGACGGTACGAATAACGGGATCCGCTGGGGAGTGGGACTGGTCATGTCGTGTTCGCCGTTGTACTGGGAGCGATAGTCAGGGTCGGAGGGCTCCGCGGAGAGACTAAAAGCAGCCACTTCGGACATTGTTTTGGAGTTGAGTGAGTCAACGGACGTTGTACAGAGTGGTTTCAATACATTTGGGGTCTATGAAGCCGAGTACATGTACTAGAGAGGGGTTACCAGCACAAGAGAATGGGCATCGTCCGTGCACCCCTTCAGTAGGCAGTAATACTAGGGAATGTAGTGGCGTATGCGAAGGCTTCACTTCGCTTTTGGCGTTGAAATGTGTGCTAGTTCACCTGTAGGCGATATTGAAGGACCCGTTTGAAGCCGATCACCATCCTAGGGCGCAGAAGAGCATAATGAAGTAGCTTATTAATATATTCAAGGCATTAGAAACTAGCTTCGATTTTCCATGTGGGGACCATGTAAGTAGATTCCATGTTCAAGTCCGGACAGTTCAATGTGTATAGATTACGATCTCAGTCTTTAGAGCTCTCTTCATGCTTCTTCAGGTCGAGAAGCATGAGCGATTGGAGCACGTTCTATCAAAACTCGATTTGCTATTCGTCACTGACTACATCTTGCGCACCTATCCAGTTCTTTGATCAAGGTAGTCCTGCCTTGTGGCGAATTCGTTGTACTGGGTTCCTCGGATGCCCAGATAGATGATGTGCGCCGGATGTTAGCCGCTCAAGACGAGTCTTCTTCTTCTTCTTCTTCTTCTTCTTCTTCTTCCTCACAGTCGAATTCGTCAGGCGGAGGTATTTCCTAATGGCGCCAGTTTGAGTCATGACGGCTAACGCTCCTAACCTTGCAAGGCGTGCGACAGAAGCAAGGAGATCAGCCATCATGCAGGCGAGCACACTGAGCATACGCCGCCGAGACTGAAGAGAATAATAGTTGAATTGATTAGGAACAGACGTTGCTTAAGCGGTACGGCAGATAGAAACTATTCCTACTCCCAAAAACGCCTTGCTAGCCCAATGCTTGCAGACCAGAAGTGACGCTCCAAAGTCAAACTGAGCAGCCTTGCATTATACTCACCACACAAGATAAGCTCCAACGAAAAATGCAGCTACGAAAAGCCCTCGGCTTCTCAAAATATGCGCCGCACTGGCACCGTCTGTGCCACAGCAGGACTGATCGTTATAAGTAACGTTGTTCGCAGTCGCAGCAACCTGGAAGACAGATCCATTAAAGTTGCCATAGTTGTAGTAGTCGACGAGTATCCAATTAGGCGGACGATTCCACATACGCTCGCAGTTTTGTACGTTGAGGCCAACACTGCCGTTGCCCGAGACAGCATTGATTTCGTCGAGGAGCGAGTACGCTGGTATGAGGATGCTGCTCACGCCCGGGAGGCTAACTTCAATGTTCAGGTTGTGGTTCATCAAGTACATGCGCTCGCGTGAGACTTCGTCGGCTTGGTTCGGGGGTCGTTGCTCCGTACAAGGAAACGCGGGATCTGTTGGCGAAAAGGGTGTTTGCCACTGATAGTTGAATTCGCTGAGCAGCCAAGGGATCTGTTCCTGGTCTGTGCCATAGTCCAACATCACCACGACGCGCTTATTCCTGATAATCATCTCGGCCAATATGGGCCAGTCAGTCAGATTCAAACTAGCCGAAGGCGGTGTCCATATGTATTCCATCATTCCTGAGGTTTGAAAAGGTGCGATATAGTCTGTCGCTGGGATCCGAGTATCTTGGCCGTTGTTGTTGCCCATCATGATAGCAATGACTTCAAATGGGTTTTGATCGAGCCAGCCTTTGACTGTTGCGAGGTATGATTCGAGGGTACCCACGTCGAGCAGGTTACAGGAGGTATGGCAGAGGCGTATAGCGGAGGTCTCGTTGGGTTTTTGGGTCTCGAACTGCACTATCGTTGAACGTCAGCCAGGGTATTCCAGTATTGTGTATGATGCGCTTACATCCTCGAATTCCATCATTGAGCTGATTAAGCACTGGGTAGTCTTGGTTGCTGGCTGCATTGTGCGGCCTCACGAATGGGCTGTTATGTGCGACGACCATAGAGATGTTGGAAAACCTCCTCTGGCAAAACTCGACATATCCGTTGCATGGTTGAGTATTAGTCGGACTTGGACGAGGAGTTGATGTTGCTGAAGCAGTGCCGTTTGAAGATTCGGTTGAGGGAGACAGTCCGACTATGGCTGTCACCTCTTGTGTTGTCGTCGACGAGGTAGCGGTAGCATTCTGCCGTCCGGAGGTGGCCGTGGTCAAGACTATGCCCAGGAGACCGCTCGAGAAGTCGGCAGAGTAGGTGCTCGTAAAGGTACTGGAGACTTCATTTATCGTTTCGGTAGCGCTGCTAGAGATAGGCGTATTTGACGCGAAGGGAGAAGAAGATTGTGCGGCTATAGGTATCGTGAGTAGAGCCAAAGGGAAGAAAAACCATGTAGGGATCATGAGGGCGATGCGAAGCGAAGGAATGACGAAGTACTAGTTCGCATGTGTTATGCAATGTCGGCATACGATTGATGATACGCGCCGTAGTTATCAAGAGATGAAGTCAAGACAATCTGCCTTACTAGCACTATGTTGGTGGTTCACCTTAGCTGACATTCGTGGGAAAGCACGATGACGGCATTGCTTGCCTCGAACGCCATCACACGTTATGTCGGATCAGCGCGGGGAAGGCTGAATGCGACCATCTCGACGGCCTATCCGCCATGGGGAACGCTTTTCGCGTTGACCGGAGATTTATGGGTCCAATAGCAGCCACACGACAACTTGTCGTCAACATTGACTGCAGTAGGGCTGGTATTCGCGGCCGGAGGGCTTGTGGCGGTTTTGGCGTACGCGGGTCTCAAGAGCCGCGTCGTGAGGCATTTTGACGCGTCATTAGCCTCAAAGATTGTAGAACACGACCGATGAGATCATCGAGCGACGAACACAGCGCTGCTGAGTTTGCTATGGGCATACGAAGAAAGGCTGGGGCGGAGTACGCGACATGGAAGACGCCCAGCCTCGCGTGACACACTAACCGCTTAAGCTTCATCTGGGCAGGGACTGAGGGTCAAGCCTTACGGAGGTCCACCCCAAAAGTTTCAATCCACGAACACGAGCTTTGGGCCGGGTAGGCGCACTGTTTCCATCAGAGCACTCGTCGCCTTCTTGTCCTATGATGTATTGTTTTCTTATTTCCGGACGCATGAACATACGAGTCTTCGAGGGCTCGCCCTACCTAGTCTCAACAACAAAGAGCAGGCCGGCTGAGTGTGTTGAGCACCCTGGCATTGAAATACAGCATTGGAAGTTTAGCTCGGGGAAGAATCAACACTAGTTGTCACCATAGAGTTTGTGCTTCTTGCTATCATCGTTCTACTGATCCCAACATACGCAACATCGACGCGGGTATCTTTCATAGCCACATTCAGCGCAGACCTCATGTACCATCTGATCGACGAAGAAGAGAATGCGTCTTTGACTCAGACTTAGAGCTCGAACTTTTTCCAGGCAGGCTATTAGACAAACACCCTCTTAACTTCAACCTTAACACAACTCGGCGGATCTAGTAGAAAGAAGTCAGCACGGATTCAATACCCCAAATTACCCCGGGGAATAAGCAAAAAACGCGCAAAGCACTTACCAGGTTTCCCAACCCCAGTCCCCCACACCAAAGTCTGCCTAACATACCCCGTCCCATACCCCGTGAAGCAGACCCACCAGCGGTAATACCCTATCCACTCACCCATATCCGGCTTCTCAGCCCCCCAAGTAATCGGATTCTGGTAGTTTAGTGTGTCTCTGTTGTCGAAAGAAAGGCTGCCGTCGCCACTGTAGGTCATGGCGAGTTGAGCTATGGATAGGGGGACTATGTCTTGGGGTTGGAGGAGCACGGAGAGGTCGACGGGGTAGGGGTCGTAGGAGATGGTTCAAGAGAGGATGCCTTGGGTGCCGAAGGTCTGGGTGGGAGTGTTAGTGGGTGTGGGGAGGGGGTTTGTGTGTTTGCTTTTGGTGGCTGGTAGGGCTGATTGGGAAGGCAGGGGGGATTTAGAAGGAATACGTGCATTTGTAATGGCAGTTCCGGTTGTGTTATGGTTCAATACAACGGGATATTGAGCGCTATCCTCTGATAGCGTGGGGCAGAGCGTAAATATTGCTGCACCTGCATGGCATGCGCAAAGTGTAGTGCCGTTCCAGGAGGTGTCTTCGGATATGAGGACAAGGTTGAAGGGATCGGAGCGGATGGTGTAGATGGGTTCACAATCGCACGTGCAATCAGCGCGAGTAAGGGCTACCAGAGCGAGAACGATGGGGAGAAGACTGAACATGGCAGTGGTAGTCTATACAGTTCGTACAGGTGCAGGACGAGATAGGAAGCTAGGGGAAATGGAGTTGGCTTACAGATGTCTATAGAGGAGGACATTCAATCACATCACGATGATTGGCATCGACCAGAAAGCACATGTAAAACTGATAGCGCATGGTAAAAGAGTGTCATTATCTATTAGCATTATCTGCGTAGCACGTCAAGTCGTAAATCCCGATTGGGTCCTCCTCCATGTCCCCTCTTCTCATCCAACCATTACGGAACAGCTTCTTCCATCGCAATCTTCCCTCTAGACAAACACCCTCGTCACGTTAACCGAGACACAGGTTGGGTTGTCTGGCTTGCCCGCACCCAATCCCCATGCCAGGTTGTTGTACCTATAGCTGGCATAGTCCGTGTCGCATGCATACCAGCGGTAGAATTCCTGGTAGGTGCCTGTGTTGTTCTCGCCACGGACGTAGGCCTGGAAAGTAAGTTCGTCCTGGGAGTCGAAAGCTAGCAACGTCGTATCGCTTCCGCTTCCGGGGCTGAGAGTAATGCCTGCGAGATTGGAGGTGGGGTCTAGGTTGAAAGCCGCTGACGAGGGAATGTCGAGGGTAGTGGTGTTCAACCACCATGTCAAGATGCCTGGTACGCCGAAGCCGTCCTCTGGTGCTTGAGAGTAGATGGATGTGTTGAATTGGAATTGTGCGCCGTCCAGGGGTTCTGGGCTGTCACCTACGCCAGCGTTGCTGAGGCAGAGTGATTCGATGGCTGCACCGACGTGGCAGGCGCTCAGTGTGTCATTGACTTTTCCGTCTTCGGATGTGACCACTAAGAAGAAAGGTGCAGAGCTGATGTTGTAGAACGGTTCCTGTGCGCTCGTGACGGCAGCTGCTGCAAGGGTGAGAGCGATGGATGAAGCCTTCATTTTGAACGATGCTAGTTGGTTTTGTAGGTGGTCGATGCGATGATAGAATTTCTGAGGTATGCTAGGCGTCGACGGAGTATGGAGGAGCTGATGAGTGCAGTTTTCCAGCAACGGCACGGTCGAGCTTTATACTCACGATCATCCTTCGTAGTCGCCGTATTCGCGCAGCCTCATCGCAGCTCCCTCCAAAGGTTCCACCTGCACAGCAGTCATGTGTTCCACCAGAACGGGCCCCAGCCAGCCCATGACGTTCCGCTACCCGTTAGCTCTGGCCGCCTTGCCACACCCATGATGATCTTTACCAGTCGGCTGCGTTCGCTCCGTATGCAGTACCGCACGGCATGCCCGATGAGGGCCAGCGCAACTCAATCAGGGCAATTATAGATAAACCCCGCGCTTTAGCGAACGAAGCTTTCCCCAGGCTGCCGGATAAGTCTTGCATGAGTGCCACAAGTGCCACAGCCGCAAAGGGCCTCAGGGCGCATATAGCGTGAGGATCAGCTGTCAATACGAGGGTTGAATCGATAGCTCAGTACCGAACCTGCAGGTGAAAAAAGTAATGGTGCGGCGAAAAAAGCTGTGTTCGCGAGCGTGAGCAATATGAAGGGCATCATAAACCCTGTTTTGCAAGGCTGATTAAGCCCAGTACGAGGCCATATATGACATTGCTCGTGATGTGCTGATGCATCCAATACTGTGTTAATTGTGCACCCTCGTACGATGATGATGGAGCGAGGTAGATGGTTGCTCTCCGTCAATGACGCAAGGGTTCAGGCCGGTCGTAAGCCGGAGTTATGTATTCAGCGCCAAAGCTTATCGGTTCTAAACTCGCCGGATGTGTGACATCGTCTACGGCTTCAGATTTACACCCTCACACCAACTACGCGATGAATGGCTGCGATCGGGATACTGCCTTCGCAAATGTCGCCTTCACGTTCCACGCCTCCGCCAGTACCTTCCGCATACGAACAGACCGGTCGCAACACCTAATAATACACGGCGTGCTGGACGCGTAGAATACTAAGAACAGGGCTATGAAGCCACTCTCATACCACCGTTACAACTCTATACTTCTAGACTGACGTAAGGGCTTACATTTACGCACTATAATTCGTAGGTATGCTTGTGGACCTTATTCCATCGACATCAGAGCGCGGACTGACGACGGACGCAGTAACGCAATCGCGCGCTTAATCACCTATGGTATAGCCGCGAGTCACGCACTCCTCCTCGTGTGCTCGCAGCACGTAGCTTCGTCGTATCGCCAGCTCTGGCAATCGATAAACTACGAAACTAGAGATGTCTTGCTCCGCGATCATATCCACTGGCACCCAGCGCAGTGTCCGGCTCGTCGTCAGCATGTGCGCTCCTCCTCTCGGCCGAGTCCTGCGATACACCATCATGAACAGGTTTTGATTGCGTCCAGTACCAACATGCCCATGTGATCCAGCAGAAGATGACATCGAATCCCACGCTGCTCACCGCTGGGTGTTCTAGCAGAGCACTTTGGATTCCCACAAAGCCACTATAGGCATATGCTGTTGCGGTGGTCCAAACCAGCATCAGCGCGGCATTCCCTAGGACCAGTGCCCACATGTAGCTGTAAACTTTGTCGGTGAATTGGATATCCTCGATGAAGTATGCGGTTGGTACAACAGTGCGTGCAATGGGCAAGAGCATCAAAGCGATGTGTGGAGCCATAAGCACCGGCATGAAGTGCGTAGCGTGATGCCAGTAGTGTTCATCTGCCAGTTGCATCGCGGGATAGGCAGTTGCGAAGATCGCGAAGAGGTTCAGAAGCCATGGACATAGCCACATCTGCCGACGTGAACCAGATGATTGAGGTGGTGCTGGCGGGCTCAGAAGTAAGGTGAGCATGAAGAGGTTCGTAGCAAAGCTGATGGCCACAATCTGGCCAAGCAGCATGAATGCCCAGGTATATTGGATACCGCGACGAATACCTAGATATGTTAGTCCTGGTCGTCATGACAAATCTAGTCTTGTACCTTTCTGCTCCAGATATAACCCCAAACCCAATGCGAAGAAGAAGATTTGGTGTGACCACCAGTATCTCGCATATCCGATTATGACAGTTCCCCATGCCTCTCGAAACAAAGAAGTCTCTTTCAACCACAACCCCCAGTGGTTCTGATGAGGCTCAAGCTCGTAGTAGCTACGCCACATTAGCCACGATTGATAGCTGACCTTGAAGTACTGGAACATGTGCATCCATTTTGTGAGTAAGCTACCCACAGCAAGTGTAGTAAATAGCCAGACATGTCTTGTTGGTGGAAGCTGTGCGGTGGTTGACTTCCGCAACACGCTAGCTCTTTTGACGAGCCTCAAGATGATGAAAACGGCGACGGAGAAACATATCAACAGATAGGAGAAGAAGATGACATAAGGCCGAGTGTTGGTATCGGACCCTTCCGGGGGCGGTTCGCGATGCTGCGGGACAGAGTACCCAGGCGGCCCGAATCCTGGAGGGGCCATCGTGAGACGATTTTCAGGGTTTGTTGGGCAGCCATCACGACGGTATGATCTACAGCCTTTATGCTGCCGTCCGCAGTCACGAAACGTGTCAAGTGCGGATCAAAGGGCTCTTCTGCTTTGCCGGCAATGTGTATTGATTAACGGCTATCTTGGGGTCGAGCGCCCAGGATGCGGTAGCGGTCGGTTGTTGCGCCAATGATGGCGTGGCTGACGCAGGGATGGCCACTCTCCACAACACGTGCCCAGGTGCTTCAGTGCCAAGGCGCCAGTGAGATCGTCATGTTTTCCCAGGTCCGTCGCGGTCTCGTCTTCGAAGATTCTCGTCCCTTGTTTTGCTTCAAGTAACTCTCCTCCCCTGTGCTAACCTTCGCTGTGGCTTTCTCGCACATTCTCTCTCTCTGTCACGACAAACTGCAAACGCCAAACCTCACAACACGGTGATGTCAGGCACACGGACCATTTGAGCTTTGCAAATCCTGATTGGCTGTTGTTTCATCATTTGGACCTCACCGCCACGCCCAAGCTACCAGACGCCCAAGTTGCGTAGCTCCGTCGATATTTTCCAGTCATCTACTGTGGTGTTTGAACATTCATTGAAGCTGTCGCCACGATGACCGACACACCGCAGACAACGGCGGGTGCCAACCCCAAGGAAGCCAGGGTCCTAGAGCAGCATCTAGACCCAAGCTTCGACTTCTCAGAGTTTGACCCAGCAACGCCAGCGGCAGAAGAGGGCGCGGATAACGCCTCCAACTCGGGCGACCGCCAGCTTCCGGAATCATCGTTGAGGTTACAGGGTGGCGACATCCACCGTGACCTGTACAAGATTGCCGCCCAGAACAGACGGCAAAAGTTGCATCAACGAGCAGCAACCTTTTCTGATGCAGTCCACTTTGGCCGCAACCCTGCGCCGTCTATTTCAGACGTCGACCATGACGAACTTCCCGTTCGCGACCAGCTTGCGCCCGGTGGCCTGAGACGCCAATACTTACAACGACAAAGCAAGCGTGTCAGTTACATCTCGGAGCCTGTGACGCGAAACTTCATTTCGTTCCTTGAGTTGTATGGCCAATTCGCTGGTGAAGATCTCGATGAAGATTCGTCGGATGCGGAATCTGCCGTTGAGGACGAAGATGAGGGGCAAGGCGAGCGCAGACCACTTCTCGGACGAAGACAGAGCTCGAAGAGATTGAGGGCTCAGGGTGATGCGGACCAAGTCAAGACCTTCTTTACTCTCCTAAAGGCGTTCATCGGTACTGGAATCATGTTCTTGCCCAAGGCCTTCAAGAACGGCGGAATGCTGTTTTCGTCGATCACCATGATCATGGTTTCTGCCATTACAGCGCTGTGTTTCGAGTTACTGCTCGCGACAAGAAAGAGATATGGTGGTGGTGGTTATGGTGACCTGGGTTCTATCGTTGTGGGACCGAGATTCCGTGCCCTCATCCTGGTCTCCATCACGCTCTCGCAAATCGGATTCGTATGCGCTGGTCTCATTTTCACTGCGGACAACCTTCGATCATTCCTGGATGCTGTCACACACGCTGAGGAGCCCCTTTCAACCAATGCGCTCATTGGTATCCAGATCGCTGTCCTGATACCCATGTCCTTCATCCGAAACATCTCCAAGCTTGGACCCGCCGCCCTTCTCGCCGATGTGTTCATTCTCATCGGCTTGACGTACATCTACTGGTACGACATCTCATGGATCTCCAAGATGGGCGGTTTCCACCCATCAATCGAACTCTTCAACCCTCGCGACTTCACATTGACTATCGGCTCTGCCATCTTCACCTTCGAGGGTATTGGCCTTATCCTTCCCATCCAGTCCAGCATGAAGGAGCCCGAGCACTTCAGCAAGCTCCTCTACATCGTCATGCTCATCATCACCGTCATTTTCACGTCCGTCGGTGTCCTCTGCTACGGAACCTTTGGAGAGAACGTCTCCGTCGAGGTCATCACCAACTTCCCCCAGACCAGCAAGCTCGTCAACGCCGTCCAGTTCCTCTACTCCATGGCCGTTCTCGTCGGTACTCCGGTGCAACTCTTCCCCGCTATGCGTAACATTGAGCTCAAGATCTTTGGTCGCGCATCCGGCAAGCAGAGCAACATGACCAAGTGGAAGAAGAACGCCTTCAGGACTTGTCTCGTCATTCTTTGCGGTGCCATCGCTATCCTAGGAGCTAGCGATCTCGACAAGTTCGTTGCGCTCATTGGAAGCTTTGCCTGTGTGCCTCTGGTGTACATCTACCCTGCTTACCTGCACTACAAGGGTGTTGCCAACCGTCCTTGGGAGAAGTTCGGTGACATCTCCATGATGGTTATCGGAGTTGTTGCCATGGTGTACACCACCAGCATCACACTCGCTAGGTGGTCTGAGACTTAGGAGAAGGAAGCGGGGGTGGTTGGAAGAGTGTAGAAAAGTCCTTTATAGTACGGTGGAAGTAGCGTCACATTGCATAATTTGTTTCTGGCACGGCGTTCAGGTGGGCGGGTGAACGGGATGTCTTGTATGGGATTTTTAACGCGCGCATGTTACAGTTACGTGTAACGATAATGGCATATAAGTACGAATTCGTCTCCTCGCACTTCCTCTGTGATGAGCTTTACAACTCACTTCTATCTCCTCCCCTCCCGCTAGAGCCTCACCACCAAGGGCCTCTGTCAAGGTACCGTGACGCAAACTCACCCTTCTCGATCGAGACCCAAATCTCAAGTACGAAGACAATCAAACGAACTGCAACGTACAGCTTAATCATCAGTACTACAATGTCCAACAGAATCCACAACATCCTGATCACAGACTCCATCAGCGACGGCGGCCTCAAGCTCCTCGGCATATGTGACTCGAGATCCCTCAGCCATTCTTTCGCAGTCAATTTTCCTATCCTCTCCACTCGTCAACGGTCTCACACCAACTACTTCTTCTATCCTCTCCACTCGTCAACGGTCTCACACCAACTACTTCTTCTATCCTCACTGCTAAGTCTTCCTGCATCTCCACACGCGTCCAAGCTACTGCCAGGTTCTCCAACACCTCTTCTCGTATCTTGAACCACTTTGTTCGGCAAAGTGGGCATTTGTTGCTGTTTGGCATTCCTGAGGCCAGGGACTTGCGCAGACATTGGTAGCCGAAGATATGGCCTTGGCAATTTTCTGTGTTGGTGATAAGAATGGGGGCGTGGGAGGCATGGAATGTGTTTTGGCAGATTCCGCATATTGTACCGGGAGGCGGGTAGGAGGGGTGAGATGGGAGGAGCGGGAGGAGATTAGAGGCGAGGAACGAAGTCAGGGATATTGTTTGCGGTGCACTGCCTTTCACTGCTTTGGGTCACTGTCTGTCTCACAATCTCACATGAATTTCTTCCCAGTAACGATAGACTCCAGTCTTTGATTCGTATCAGGGTAATCTAAGTCTGCAACGTAAGCGTGGAAGGAAAATACTTAGGCTTCTAGTAACACGGTAACGCATATCTAAACCGCGTTCTTCTCCACTTCTACTCTCGGATCATTGACAACTTCCCACTCCTCATCTACGTCAATCTTGTCCCATTCCTCTTCATCCGAGTCCAAGTTCAGCGTCTCGAACTCGTCCTCGGGAGCCTTCTCTTCAGGGGCCTTGGACTTGTCAGTCGCCGACCAGCTATCCACCTTGGCACAGGCAGTAGTATCGGTTTGCGCCGAAGCGAGGTTCTCGACTGCGAAACGCGATTTGATAACGTTTGTAGTTATCTGGCTCCTGATGGGCAACTTAGTCCTCCTCTTCTCCACGTCAGAGGGACTGCAGGAGTATGTCGGCGCGTCACGTTTGGCAGGTGTTGTGGGCGTCGTGCTAGTCGTCGGTCGCGCACCAACATTGCTCTGAGCGCGCTCCGCTTGCTTAGTAGCGGTGTCCGTCGGTGACCCGTTTCTGAGCTTCTCCAGAAGCTCGGGGAAGGAGAGTTCGACATTGTCCATATCCGCGACCATTATGTCGATCTCTGTGTCGGAGTATTTTCGCTCGCGAAGGTCACGGATAGTGTCCAGATATGCTCTGAGGCCTGGTGGGTCTTCGAGTTGTGTTGACTTGTTGAGAAAAGCCGAATCTCGGGCTTTTGTCAACGTCTCTCTCCGGGCTTCGAAGGGCAATTCGGGTGTAGTGAAGATAAGAGGCTCGTACGCTGTAGACTTGAGAGCTGTAGGCTCTCCGAAAACTGGCGGCTTACATCGGTCACCAAGAATTCGAATTGGCAGCGTAGTTCTTGATGTATCTTTGGAAGCGGGAGAAGGTGTGTTGACATTGACATTCGTATAGGGAAGTTTGTTGTAAGGAGATCCATGTACCTCTCCCGTCTCCTGGTTGATGGGTGCGATCACGTTTGCGGAGCGATTGGTAGTGTTTGAGGGAATATGGCCCCATCGCGAGGGCCATGTGAGCTCGGGGAACTTTGTTTGGTCTAAAGTGCCGTCTTGGTTGGCAGCCATGCCATTCGGAGCATAGGACATTGAGAACGAGGGAGGTTGGACAGGCGTGGACACAGCTCCGCGTGGTTTTGTGGTTGATGCAGGCAGCGGTGCCCGTGGTGATCGTGGTAGCAGTTGTGGTAATGGTGACCGTGATGACCCTGGTAATAGCGGTGGCTGTGATGGTGGTGGTGGCGGCAGTGGTGGCAGTGATGGCATGAATGAACCTAGTCGCGATTCGGGAGAAGATTGTACTGCGTTGCGAAGCTCATGCTCGCTAAGTTGTCGTACCGTTTGGCGGTGAGAACCACGAAAGGGTCCAGCTGTGGAGGAAGCACGCACGTGACGTCGATATGTTGACAGAGCTCCATTCCAAGGGTGCTCTGTGTCATTGGAGCGTCGTATGGTAAGTGATGAGTAGCTGGGCGGGTCATCACAGTTGAGCATTTCCCGCCTGCGCCCAAAAGGATCATTGGGAGGACTGTCTTCCGTGGGACTTGTGTAGCCCCATGAAGTTTCCCTCCTTTGCCCAAAAGCAAAAGGATCCTTGGGAGGACCGTCGTCCGTCGGACTTCTGGTGTCCCATGAAGGAGACATACTTTCAGAGGTGGATGAGAGGTCGAGAGTAGCGTGGAGGTATTACAGCAACAGAAGTGGAACTCTGATGGCGGAAGCTCTGCTTTTAGAAAAGAGCTATTTTTGAAGTGAAATGCAACCGGAGCAATTAAGGAAAGAAAATATGGGACAATTTGACCGAGAGGGGCGTGGGAGGCAGCAAGAAACCACGGAACAGCGCGGTTAACAAGCGGTAAACCATAGGGGTTTGGCTCAAGGTCAGCATTTTGTCAATGATTCCTGAGTAATGGGTGTCGTTCCTTGGTTCACAGGGGCGAGGGACCACTGATACCTTTCTACCGCATGCCAGTCATCATTTTCAACGTTCCCATTGGATCTTGTACACGTACGCATTACCCCAAGACTTGAAGACTCCAGTGGAGCTCTTTGATTGCATATATTGAAGGTTAGCTGCGCAGAAGTAAACGTGCTCCCGAAGTCTATTTGGGCGCGCTCCATGCAGCGACGGCTCTCCCAAGTACGTGGCTGGAGATCCTGCGATAGCTCACTTCCATCCTCGAGCATGAAGGCCGAAAGACGCAATGAGTACCAGGAGTGAAGGTAGCTAATCGATAGGCCGAAGCGAAGAAGCAGCGACAAAGACAGCCAGGTGGTCAGTGTTCAACGGCTACAGCGATCGTCTGGCGGGCCTTTGCCGCGTGCTATACTTAGACACCACCACCAGTACAAGCAAGAGAAGCCTTCAACAGGCGACATCTCGAGTAATGATGGCAAAGGCAAATAGTGAGAGAGGATGCAACGCAGTGCACCATCGTGAGCGATGATGCAGGTGTCGTCCCAAAAGGGAGAGGCGGGCTTGGCAACGCTATGGCCAGCGCGATGGGCGGCCCACTCGATTGTTTGGATTCGTCCCGCGTCACAACATTCAAGGTCCAACACCCCAACGCCCCGACGACGACCCCCCAGGACTGCCCTTTTGCCTTTGGCGTTGATATACACGACTGAATTGCTTCGAGACGACATGCTCAGCTAACCTAGACGACACTTGACCTTTACCCGGAACGCGACTGCCAGCACCGCGACGCGCCCAACCACCCGCACTTACTTCTATCTTTCACACTTTCGCCATGGCTGCCCGCACAAAGGCACCCACTGTAGGGTCCGCTGGATGGATCCTCGAGGAGCGCCATCAATCCAACACGCTTGTATCCCAGGAATTGGAGGATTTTGGCTTCTCTGTGCGCAATGAGCTGGAATGGCTCAACGAGCATATGTTCGACATTTTGGCCAGCGATAGACCGTATGTCGCGTCTACCTTGCGTCAATACGCGCCAGACTGACTCTCCGGTAGACACAACCTCGATGTCTTCAAGACGCCCGGCAAATTACGCGGCAAGACGCCTCGCACCGCGCGAAAGAAGGCGGTCGATCGCCAGGTAAGAATTTTGCGCGTCGCCTTCCATCCCGTATTAACATCAGCCAGCCTCTTGCCAGCATAAAGTCTGCCAACGCGCAGAAACGCACAAGCGCCGCCGAAGAGAGTCTACGAAATGTCAAGGCTAGATTCCAGATCGCCGAAGACGCAGAGAACACGGTTCGACAATCGCCTACCGTCGCCCGCACGCCCATCGCGCGACAGCTGTTTACTAAGCCCGAGAGCGCCGGCAAGGAGAATGTCGACACTAGCTTCCAAGCGAATGTATTCGAGAAGCGCCCAGCACAGCCTCTTGCACCAGCATGGAACCCTGTCCAGTCCTCGCAAGAGACAGTAATGACTTCAGAAGCCAGCGAGGTCTTCTCACCGCCACAGAGCTTCTCAACACAACCCACACAGCCCACTCAATCCTTCCGTCATTCGATACACGATAAGGAAGAAGACCGCGACACAGGCGATTCTTTCGTCTCAGCGAACGAGGCTTTCGCGAGCAAGAATGCCTCGCGAGAAGCTTCGCGCGCGAAGGATGCGGACGCGGATGCGATGGAAGTGGATGACGAATACAAGGCTGACCGCTCGCGATCTGATGCCGACGGTACCATGATTCACCATGACCTTTCTGACGCGGAAGATCACAGCATGGAGGATATGGAGGACTTCCCGGAGCCACCACGCATGGTGTCGGAGCAGTACAGTATTTCTGCAGAGACGCACGACGCGCTTGACAGCGCGAACCACCGCACTCTGGCGCCTGAGCCGAAGAACATCTACGCGCCCGACCATTCAACAACGCCTTCAGGCCCGCCGCCTGCGTCGCCAGAAGTCGAACACAACGACACTCTCATTCATCACGATATCGACGATCAAATGGATATGGACGATGATGTGCGCTCACCCTCGGACAACTCCAGCCCCGTAAAGCCGCTTGTTAGGAAAAGCAGTCTTACCTTTGCCTCCCTTCCCGCACGCGAGCCGTTGCTCCCGAAGAAGAGCATGGGCAACCGAGTGTCGCGCATTAGTCACATTGACCAGAGCAAAGCCCGCAACAGCCACATGGGCAGATTTACAGGAGGAAAGAGCCTGGGAGGCTCGCAGCTTGCGCATCCTGCGGAGATACAACACGCCGATGACTCGGACGTGGATATGGAACGCCCGGAGCTTCAGCGAGAGGAGTCGGAGACAACGAAAGTTCACAACAAGACCTCCACCCAGCGTCTGTTTGAACGAATCAACATGCTCAAGCAGCAGAACGAAGCGCCGAAACGCATTAGCCAAAACATCACATCTGCGCAGTCGCAGCCTCAGGAACCCACACAAGCAAAGGAAGAAGTCGCACCTGTACAGACTTCACAGCCGACGTACCCGAGTCTCCCAGCACCCGCACCCGCACAAGAGGACGACGACGATGACGACTGGATCTCGCCGGTTCGGACAGCAGCAGTCGCACCCAAGGTCGCCAGGCCTGCTTTTAACAAGAGCCATACTGCTGACGTCCAGGCCTCTCCGGCTAGGCATGTGCCGCCGAAGCTCACTTCAGTCTCAAATCCGGATCTCACAGCAGTTGCTGAATCAACCACGCCGGTTGGCTCTCCGACTAGTAAGAAATACATGGATGGCCCCCTCAGTGCTTCGAAATCTAAACTGTATTCAGCATTCCGCGCAGCGAAAGAGAAGCTCATCGGATCGAGTGCTACCAGCGCTCAGGTGAAGATGGATGCACTCAAGGAGAGCCCTGCCAGGCCCAAGTTTCCCTCTTCAGATCCATCAGAAGATGCCCTAAGCAGCCCCAAGCGCGCAGAGAGACCGGCTACCATCTTCACTCATATGCGCTCACCTTCCAAGGACTCTATCAAGTCCGGTAAGAGTGCTACCATGCCTGGTAGCCCACTCAAGGGAGACGGCCGACGGACTCGCAGCTCCACGGAACGCGAGAAGCAGAAAGAGAAGGATGCGAGAGAGAAGGAAATGAGAGAGACTAAGCAACAACAGCGTGCTGAGGACAAGCTCAGGCAGATGCGTGAAAAGGAACAAAGCAAGGCTGCTGCACATGCCCAGAAGGCCAGAGCTATGGGCGCAAAGACACCGACCGCTATGTCGTCGCAATCAAGCCTTAGGCAACCTACTGCATCGGCTGCGAGCAAGACACCAGCACAAGCAGCACCACAACAGCCCGTGTCTCGACCTGGTATCCCTCGATCAAATACTGCTTCATCCAGAGAGCAAGATGTGGACTCCGGCGACGAAATGCCACCCCCACCACCTCCAAAGAGCCTGCTGCCTACCACTAAGACATCGAAGGCACCTCTTCGGGAGCCTAGGAAACTTGCCAAACCATCAAGCAAGGACGCTATTACAAAGGCGAAGGCACCCCAGAAGATTATGGTCAACCTCAAGAGCAGCCAGTACGGACAAGCACCTCCCCCTGCTGCTCGTCCGGCTCCGTCGTCTAGCAAACCTCTCCCGTCGGCCCCTCAGAACCTGGGGAAGTCTGTAGGACCTTCGTCAAGACCTCCTACAGCCGCAGCAAACCGCCCTGCCTCAGCTCTGTCTACTAAGTCTGCACCCGGAACCAAGTCCGCACGGCCTATCTCTAAGCCTCCCGCACCTCAAGCCGCCCGCCCGCAATCTGTTGTTGAGAAGCCCAAGGCTTCAACGTCTCAACCACCGCGCTCTGATCTTGGAGCTGCTCGACCTATATCCCGCCTGCAGACGGTTCAGGATGCGAACCGCATCAACATTCCTCCTGTTAACCCTGCAAAGCCTCCGCCCAAGCGACAGTTCCCAGGCGAGAGCGATGAGACCCTCCATCGCCCGGCCAAAAGACCTTCGCAACAGGCGAAGAACCTCAACCCGACTACTCCGGCGCATGCTCAGTTTGCGAAGGGCAAGATTCCATTCGCCGAGTCCGCGTACCAACCCCAATCTCAGGCACCCACAATACAGTACCCCAACGGAGACGACATCAAGCTGCCTGAGATCATGACCGACTCGGAAGACGAAGACTCCGAGAACGAGTTCGAGCAGCCTAGTTGGGTTAACACCCCCAACCTCCGCGAGATGCTAAGCAATCAACAGCTCATGGACCCCGAGCACATCTTCGGACCCATTGCTCCTTTGGAGATGGAAAAGGTCTTCCCCAACAAAGAGCGCCACAAGCGTTTCCGCGAGCGTACCAGCAGCGCCTACTGGGCCAACGATGAAGTCACAGCCGAAGAGAAGCGCAAGGAGCGCGAGGCAAGAGAACGCCTCGTCCGCGATGGTGGTTGGACATACAACCCCTCGCCTCTTCCCAAACAATCCGGCTCATCCCGTTAAGACCATCACGACGGCATATTTGGGGTGTTATTACATTCTTCACCCCTGGTACATGCTTCCATCCATAACGAGCATGTTGAGGCGTAAACTTGTGTATTGTGTAAATATTATATCGGGCGTAGCATCACGACCGCATGAAGCGCATGAAGAGGCAGAGCGAGTGTGCTTCAAAGGGTTATTGTCATTGTTTTTATAAGGTGTTTTGAAGGATGGTATGGACGAGCTTCGGCCCCGATTGAGTGGCTGGCTATGATTGCTTCGTGTTTTGAATGGCGGTTTTTGTCTTCCTTACTTTCTTCTGAGATAATCTTTTGTGTAGTGATGGTCAATGATGAGACTATTGTCATGTTCATATTTGGTTGTTCATACTGCACATTTCACGCTGTGAGCTAGGTTCATGAACGTGATGTAGCCTCCGGGCATGCATACTATCAGCGTATCCATTCAAGAGCCTATGAACTGACTATAGACTCTACAACCGTTGTAAGAGTCAGTCGCAGTGTTTGCTCATGGTCCGCATGACTCGTCCCGTCCCCGCAAGGCAAATACTTCTTCCACCGATCCGTCATCATTCCATCATTCCAGTTCATGCCAGCCAGTCGAAAGCTTACTCTAAGCGCTTGTACGATACATTCAAAGACTGATCCAGGCCCTGCTATCAAAAGAGGAAGTGACAGCGGAAGACAGAGGACAGATTAGGCTGTCTGCCTGGTATGCGGTATTAGAAATGTGATATACGGGCCTACTCCACAGCGGGTACACGTACCAAGCGTGCGGTTTCAACAGCCGTGACGTCCTCCCAACATTTGGAAAGACGACGGATAGTCCATACACGACCGGGAGCGGGGTCATGTCAACTACCTCGGACGGCAGCATGGCTTGAAAGATGACAGAGCGGTACGTGAAATGACAGGCTGTTGATAGATTTTTCATGATGCTTATCGGTGGACTAACAGACGGTGCCCGTCGGCGTCTTCGGCACGTATCTTGAGTTGCCCGGCTCTTTGCATGGTGGCGGCCACGTTGATGTAGGGCATATCCACGTTTCACAGCCTCTTCCCTTTCACACCGATAGGATCGTCTATCAAGAAATAGGCAGTGGAGATGTAGTGTGGTCCGGGGCACGGGAGCGGAGCGGAGGAGGGAAGGGATACTTACATGAACCAGAGGCCGTAGCGTGATGGCGTCTTCTCTAGGTAAGGCAATTGAATGGAGGAGGCCGCCCTACTCCGAGTAACTGCAGGGTCCATCTCCCCTACGGCCCATTTGTGTGTGTGACCCGATGTGCTGGCTGGTGTGGTGGCCACGACCTAGAGAATTGACATTGACAGTGACAAATACTTGAGGTAATGTGGAGGGGGAAACATGTGACGCGCGTCTGTAAGAAGGAGGGGAACGAAGTACGTTGCGGTAGGAAAGGAGATAAGAAGAGAAAGGATCGCAAAGAGAGCCCAAAAAGTGAGGCATGTCTGCCCTAATCGGCTCACCTTCCGTAGGGACTGTTCAACCATGCTCGCGCATAGAGACTCGCACCGTAATACCTGTCAGTGCTGTCAGGAACATGTCAAATCGTACATCGTGGTACCTGGAGTGCCCAAGCTAGCCGGTGCTGTGGCACTTGTCCTTATTTGCGCATCTGACCCGGAGCAAGTGTTTGGGGTCTGGCTTGGTAGATTGCCAAGGCCCACATGCATGCAAGCTCCCTGTAGTTGTTCGAAGTCCTTTTTGGATGGTTCGGTGTCGATGAATCCAATAGAGTGAATGATCTCGCTTGGCCGCGGCGACTAGAATCGGGCGTCGGTTCGTGCGATCCGGTGTGGGTTTCCAGGTCAATGGAGTGGACTACTCCACGGGCACTATCTTAGTACCACAGATGGAGATCGCGGAGGCATGTAGCAGGCATGGCCAGCATTGCATGGCAGATCGGCCTAGTAGGTAGGCAGTGGTATCGATAGCGGATACCCATCTCAACTGTTGCACACCGAGAGGGGCGGGGCGAGCCCCTCTTGTTGCACTGAGAGCATCGAATTGCGTTCTCTAGAACCAATACACCGGTGTGCAGCTTGTAAAGCGAGTATCGGTGTGGTGACGCGCGCATGCTTTTGCTGCTTTCACTGAACCTGCATCTGCTGCTCGAGTGTCGTCGTAAGTCGTCCTACATTGTGGAAAGCGCCACAAAGCTTGATTGCATCACCGCAGCTGTCAGTCAGAACCTTCTCCGGAGTACAGAGCGCTCCCTCGACTACTATGTGCACCAAAAGTCCTTTCGCAAGACGCTGTGTACCCAGCAATTTGTCACCTGTAATGCTCCTTAACAGTCGTTCCTGAGATATTAGCCGGACGTTGTGCCATTTCATGGAAACAATGCGAGGGTCATCCATGCATCTCTCTCATTTTAGCGAAAAGGCACTACCGAGCGCGATCCTGAGATTGCCTTATGGAAAGCGTAACAATATGACAATCAAGGAGTCCGTCGTGCAAGAGTGGTTTGGTGGGGCAGGCGACCGACTGCACTCTTGCTTTCGCCTCGTCAGGTTGTGAGACACGTCCCAACGCGTCACCCGTCGGGCACGAGGAAAAGCAATTCTGACACCTTGGTGGTACTATTCGATGCGCCATAGGGGCGGATTACCGTTCAGGCTGTGATACCTTAGATAGCCTTGAAGCGCTACGGAAATTTCTCTTGCGCATGTCATGACGTTTGTGGCACGATCGTGAAGACAACATCGGTGAAAGGAAGGACACTGGAGTGGGCCAGTGCCTCACAATCTCGGATCGACACCAAGAAAACCAGAAGAGATTCTCGTGTGTTGGACGAGTTTCTGACAGTCTTGCCGTGATTTGGCACATGCTTTGTATGAGAAAGCAGTTGAAAGATGATGGAAAGTGCGTTGAGGATGTACGCGTCACCTGAGTACGTGAGACACGACTAGTTAAGTAGATCCTCTATCGATACGTTGTCGCGCACTTTACTTTCTAGCCTATCCAAAGAGGTATCGTATCCGATGTCTCCGCCTAAAAAGTAGCTGTGTTACGAGACTACATGTCGTGCGGAGCAGACGCACTGCTAGACACGCTCAGCTTGCGCATGGTTGTTGGACTTGTCCCCTCGATGCTGTTCGTAATCTGCTTCGTGCCTCTGTTGCTTGATTATGCGGTGAACAGCTTGAGACTTTGGTGTGCAGGATTCCTCTGGTCTTTCATTACTCATGGCAGACCCTGGGCAACTTTTGAAGGACGACCAACGAAGCCGATGCGTACGGTAAAACGGCTCGTTAGACGTACGAGCATTTTGACAGCGTTGTCGTACAATAAATACTCTTGGACGCTGGTCCTGCGATGACATTGCAGGACGGGCTCAGCATGGCGTGAGGCAGGGCTGAGATAGCTTTTCACCTGCGTCATGTCCAATAGACACAGCTATCACACCTAGAAATGGCTTCGCCACAAAGATTGTTTTGCCTTGATCAACCCAGGTCATAGCTTTGGACTTGGACTTGGGTGCGAAATCAAATATGTCGCTGGTCATGGCTCCGTACCGCTGATGTCCGCCGCCCGACTCCAACTTGAGCTCGCTGCACAATGGTTTCACCCTTGATAAATTTGGCTGGTCAAGGTTATTCGAGCCAAATGTCATCCCGCTGTGACGGCTTCTGTGTAACCAGCGGAAGCGGAAAGAGTCTGCACACATGCACAATGATCGATAGCAAGCGCGCATCTCCTTCCCATCTGAGCGCCGTGCGAATGACCGACATCCTCATAATGCATCGGACCTTGACCCAATCAACGCAATGGCTTCGAGCGAGTCCACTTATCCTCACGAAGGTACTCTTTTTTGACCGGAAGGCAGTGTGAGTTGTTCGAATCCCCCACCGCCGGCCACGCACAGTGACAGCGGGTAAGGCTGTGAGTATCCAAGCTGCTTCGTTTGATGGCACTAGTTCGTCAGGAAATAAAGCGAAAGATACACAAGAGCCCTGGAGAAGACTCTGATCAAGCCGTGGTCGCGGGTCACGACAGCCGGAGCTGCACCTTGGCTTTCGTCTTCTTTGAGCGGTCTGTACTGAGACATAAACACCGCCTTTCTTCGTGAGAAGTCCTACAAATAGTCCAGCCGTATGTAAAAGCGAATGTGGCAACGTGACTTGTTTGGAATGTCCGGTGAGGCATGGGCCCGTTGAGAGTGTTGTGAATGACTTCGCGTTGCAGGCAAGTGAAAGGGCTTGCAGTAGAGCGCGCCATGTCTCACTGGGGAAAGAGGGATATGCCTGATCCAGACATCACATTCTTTCTGAGATGTTTGACGGTAATCAGGTTGTAATTCCAAAGACAGGCGAGCAGTGTCTATGCTGTATACCAAATCTTGAGTATCGCCAACGGGAGCAAGGCTGAACACACACCAACAGTGTGTGCACCAATGACAGGTCTCGATGGATTTGCAATTGTGCAGACATCCGAAATACGTGAGGAATTGGGCCACGTTTGCAATGAGAGGCAAGAGGGACGTGCGCTGTACTTCCACGGGAAGTTGCAGGTAAACACTGCGAGGATCCGTTCCTTTCATACCAGAGCGACAGGGAGCATGCCAGAATGACCCGGTATTCTCAAAAAGATCACACGGGAATGATGTGAGCCTGAGCATGCCACTCATATGTACTGGAAAGGTACGTGCGGCGTAGTGGTGCAATCGCCAAGTACCTTCAGTAGTGGATACCGCTGATATGGACGTAACGATGGACTAGCCTCCCATGGGCCATGATTCTCCTGAGACATATGTTCAGGTGCCAATCAGGAAGCACAAATGTCGTGCCCTCCACTGACACCGTCGGTGGCTGGAGAGTCGCTGAGCTGCTCAGCGATGCCAGCTCGCACGTCCCTGAGATCATTGGAAACGTTTTGGTTGGCGCATGTCTCCTTTCGACAAAGGAATTGATGTAAAGCCTGGTGCAGCTGCAGGGTTTAGGGCCATCCAGGGCGGGAGTTGTGTTTGATGCCGTACGACGCTATACCCTCGATCCCTCTTTCACCATCGCATTGTCCATACCCTAGCACTTGCTTTCGGCAATGGCCGTTTGGTCCAATGATTGGATCCGCCACGTCGTAACCTGGCAAGCCATGTAGTGTGAAGGCTTATCCACTTACACACCGGACGTAGTCTGCAAGGCGCTTGGACAAGCTTTGGCGAAGTGCGTCGCCAATACTGAGCAGCTAGCGGACCAAATTGAAGGCATGAGTTGACCCGTTAAGAAGCCATGTACAGCACAGGTACCTTGCCATAGGATACCGCCCTCCTTAGTGACATTAACCGAAAGCTCTTACGAGAAGATAACCTGGTTCGTTTCCCTGCTCTTTGGTAAGGCTTGCATCCCATCTTGGTCGACAGCACCTGTACGATCGCCTCTTCTTGACATTTGCTGACTTGGCTGTCAAAGTGACTAGTCAACAAGTACTGTAGCGATAGTCGAGCGAAAGTGTCCGCTGGACACCACACGAGGTCCGTCCAATCGCCACGGGATCATTCGGTTTGTTAGGCAGAGCCACTGCTGTCGTATTGGGTCATTGCCAACGTGTAGCGTACGTCTCCTCGCCATCTAGTCCATCAAGCGCGTCGTCGCCCAGGCACTCTTCAGCTGAACTTATTATGTACGTCGTAATGACTGTCAGATGAATCTGGTGCGGTCTGCTAACTGTAAGAAGATTTGTCGCAATCGTCTGGTAGTCTCCAGTCCACGTTCTTACTGGCCGGAGGTATAGGGTGCTCATCTCTTCCGCGTGAGCATTCCGCAAACGAACAAGACGTCAGCCTCTTCTTCCCGTCGCTGCCACCCAAACGCTCTCTACTCCAAGTCGATCTTTCGTTTCACGGCAGCTTAGTCTCGCTTTCCCACCTGGTCTTTGCATCTCGAAGTTCACCGTTCCTGCCAAGTACCGGTACCTTTCGAAAAGTACCTGCACCAACAATCTTCGTCTCAGTAACCGGAGGGTTCAGAAGCTATCCTGACAATGAAGATATCGCAGATGCTGAACCCTGTCTGTGGTGGCCGCGACGACCACCTCAGTTCGAACTCGCCGACGCCAGCTCCATATCCAGTGGCTGCAGTCTCAGAGCCAAGACGACAAAAGATTCCAAAGGACGCTCCAATCTTTTCCGAAGGTAACAGAACCGTCGGTAACGTCAACTTTCCGCCGCACGAGGCTGGTGAAGACCATGAACTCTTACACCAGCATCGCCGGTTTCAAATCTATCCTTTGGGTGAGATATCCAGGAAAGGTGTAAGGCACATCCCGTACAACAGCGACAAGAAGGCCTTCCACGAAAAGACTGGACGCGAAGCTTTTGAAAGTAGGTTCTATTCACCCTCCTGCTAGCTTGATGCTGACTTGAGTTTAGTGTTCCAGTACACGTACAAGAGACCAGATGACGAAAAAGAGTACACTGTTGTCTGGGACTACAATGTCGGCCTCGTTCGCATGACGCCTTTCTTCAAGTCATTGAAGTATTCAAAGGTAGGTTGCTGACTAGCCCACTAGATGAAGAGGAGACTGACTGGTGCAGACGATACCGGCCAAGGCGCTGAGAGAGAACCCAGGACTGAAGGACATCAGCTACAGTATCACCGGTGGGGCTCTGGTGTGTCAAGGTCAGTGTCGTGGTAGCAATCATACGGAGATGGGTACTGACTTCTTGTAGGCTATTGGATGCCATACCATGCAGCCAAAGCTATAGCAGCGACATTCTGCTACGACATTCGATGGGCACTCACCCCGGTATTCGGTAACGACTTTCCCTCCGAGTGTCTGCATACGAAGGACCCATGCTTTGCCAAATTCCTCATTGACCCGACCACTGTGCAGTTCTGCGCGCAAGAGACGGTTCGTTTCGCAAAGCTGGGTTCTGCGTATGCTGTTCCCAAGTCCGACGCATCGTCGCTGATCGAGACACCGAAGATGCACTGTGAGCCGTCCTTGCGCAAAGAGAAGCTGGTCATGCAACGGCGCGCGCGACCGACTGATATCGAGAGCGGGTATGGGACGGACACTAGTCGGCATGGCAAGTATCTCTGCTCGCCTGAAGTATCTCCTCGCACTCAGTTCACGCCCATCAACCGGTCGCAATCTCCATGGTCGCCACGCACAATCGGCTCTTCCCTCTTGGGCTCGCCTGTCAGCTTTCAGGCGCCTCCGGGTTTACTCACGCCCACGTCGGCTCCATACGAGTACCACGTTGAAGGCTTTCGAGCGAAGCGGACACATTCGAAAGTCTTTTACGACGACCACGTCACTCGTCCCGAGACAGCCACCACGGTGGATAGCGCGCATGACTCGGGGGTGTCCGGTGGCGGCGACGACCATACACGCGATGATGTCAGGGCGGCGGAGATGTTGTTGTCGCTCTGCACTGGGGACAAGACGATGCCACCGACGAAGCGGACGCGTTGTGGTCTGAGGTTCTAGGGACGTTGTTCCCCACCTTCCTCGCGATATCGATGACTAAAATACCGCCGGTGGTGCTTTCCTTTCCCGTCAACCCATGACGTCTCGTAGCTTTTCCAGCGCGCATCGTCGGCACACTCGTTAAGCAACCTGCATTGAGCCTGTCTTCTTCATGTCAAGGATACCAAGGCGCACTTGTTAAGCGGTTTGCATTCAGCTGGGCTTTTTGATTTTCGAGACGCGCTGTTGGCGCTTCGGTGTCGCTCTTCGGCGTTGTTTCCCCTATATATGATATTCACCAGAAAGAGAATACATAGCATCAGGCAAGCATCGCTGTGTAAGCAATATCAGGCGGTCGGGCAAACATCATACTTAAAATTGTAGATAGGCAGATAGCTGCATCTTTTGTGCGAAATTACAATCTTGCTATGGTCATCCCGTGTCTTTTGGATTGCTATCATGTAAGCTCACTTGGAAGCTGCCTTCTGGCTCTCGATCCTCTTCCTTGTGCCATCGATAACCGCATCCTCGTCCCAGATGTACGTCACACTCTCCTGCTGGTTAACCTCAGCGGCCCATTTGGAGAAGTTGGGCAGTGCATCGAGGTCAGAGATGATGGATTTCGGAAGCAGCTCGTGCTTGGCCATGGCATATGTACGGATGATGAAAGGTGCTGTCAGAGCCTGCAGTGTGTTAGCGTGGCTCGGAGTCCTTTGGGGAGGGAATGCGCCTTCGCCTCAGACCAGGATCCGGTCGTGGCTTGGGCTGCTCCTCTGACGATGTACTTACCTCAGCCAACGTAACCTTCTGGCTACCTCCAAAGAATGGCTTCGCATCCTTCAGTAGCGGCTCAATCTCCTTAGTAACAACATCCACAAACTCCTGGCTCATCTTTGCTTGCTCCTCCTTGGAGTCACACATTAGGATTTTGTAGAAGAAGCTCCCCGCCTTGCTAAACCAGGTGTCGACGAAGAAGCTGATTCTTGCCCGGGTCAGAGCTGCTTCTGGGGTGCCAGACGCGGGGAGAACATGTGAAGGGTACGCATCTGCCAGGAATGTTGCGACGACTCCGGACTCTGTGATGATTTCGCCATTGAAGTTGATTGCGGGAACGAGGCCGCGCTTGGAAGTGTTAGTACCACTTCATTGCATGAGAGTAGGGCTGAACCTACAGGGTTGATCTCAAGATACCACGGCTCTCTCGGTTTACCCAAATCGATAATAACCTCCTCATACGGAAGCCCCAACTCCTTCAGCACGACATGAGCTCGATGTGCCCAAGGACAGCGATGGTTAGTGTAAAGCGTAATCTTGGGCGCATTTCCGTTGACTTGAGCCATAACGATTGATATAGGATATCGAAGATGATTTCAGCGCTAGGACGGTGCGGCTGAGAATGCGGGTGCGGGTAATACGACTAGGAATGCCAAATGTGAAGCTTAACGGATGCAGAACTAAGAAGCGCTTCTGAGAGAAATGGTGTTTATATATGGTGCTATGGTTAACCTCGCAACTCGGTGTTGGGATTAGAAATCAGCATACGTGGTGTATTACGCCCGCGTGCTGGGAGGGGGGCGGAGGCCGATATGTGGGGTAGGCCATCCGCGAAGTAGTGCGCCTATCCCCCGAGCCTTTTCGCCCGGAGCTCCGTGTCATGAGAGATTATATGCCTGATGACCGAGATTTCCGCAAGCTCGGCGGAAGAGAATGGTGCCTTATGATGCATGTGGTTCGCCAGGGCTGGGGCAAGGTCGTTTCCTGCAAGCTTCGCAGACAGTGTAGCCAGAGTGTTCCAAGAGACCAGGGCGATTTGGGCTTGCAGCAGACGTCCATATGCGCGTTGGGCGATCTTCGTGCCAAAGTGTAGTATGAGGATCGAGAGCCCATGGTATTCAGCGGATAATACCGTCGCCTTCGACCTTCCACTCCATAGCGGTCGCGTCCGTCTTCTTCTTCGCCCTGCGCTTCTCATTGCGCAGCCGCCTCTTCTCCTCGGCGTCCTTCTCCAGTTGCTCCTTGGTCATGGCCAATCTCGCATCTAGATCCGTCACCTCCATAAACTTGTCCTCGTCCCGTTTGCGCTTGAGATATCGTAGGCGTTCCCGTACTTCGTGGACTGTCGCGCGGTGGACTTCGCCCGACTGGCCCGTCGCGACCAAATGCTGCTTGCTGTTCAGATGCTCGACATACTGGATGTTGTCCCTGATGACTGTTAGCATAGTTCATAGACTGTGATAAGTGCGACAAGGAAGACGTACTTGAATGTAAGGTCGCAGGCTTGACAGTATGCGCCCGCACCGCGTCCCCTCTTGCCAACAGCGGCTGCTGCTGATGTGAGGGTTTGCTTTCCGATCATCTTGCTCCAGTCTATGCGCTCTGATCTGGCCTCGGTCTGCTTCAGATCATCGGGCGTGGACGCTCTCCGCCTGTATGTCTTGCCCGCCAGCTTTGCCTCATATCGCTCTTTGCCCTCTTCACGGTCTTTTGCCTCCCTATCCTTCGCCCGCTGCGCCATCTCGTCGCGATCCCATGTTTTCCTGAAGTCTGTGTCGCCGCCGCCAGACGTTCCATATGCGCCTGCTTTTCCGCTCATGATGGGTGATGCGATCAACTACACTTTCCCTGATCGCGTAAATATGTTGTTCGATTGTTCAAAGCGAGGCGACTGTTCAATTATTCGGTTAGTCGCGTGGTGCCGTACGGAATTTGTGTGACTAGGTGGGTGGTGCTGTGTCTAAGGATTTCTACAAGCTCAAGTCGCGACTTTCCAAACCATGGGTGCACGGACTTACGTAGCGGAGCTTTAGGCATGTGCTATCACCTATTGTATTGGCTTCGCCAAACATTATACGGAAGAATCATCGAACTTTGATTGTATTCGGACGAACTATAGAAGTAAATTCAGGTTCAGGTACATGTTGAAGATCTGATAGTACCCACTGCGAATGAAACTCCTGTGAACGAACACTCCTCGCTATGCTTGATATCGCTTGTGAATATAGAGCGGTCGCAATACCAGAAACGCGACCAAATTCAACAGCGCCAATACATGCTATGGTATGTTTGTGCTACTCAGTATCTGTTTGTTGCTTCGAAGGCCTTTCATGCCTGCAATAGCAGTAAGACCCACCACCATTCGTTCAGGCGATCATGACAGGACGTTATGGAGTGAGCATAGAAAGACAAATTGAAAGAAAGTATACATCGAGCTATTCAGTATCCGTAGGGATCTGGCGGCCGAGGATACGACCCGTTGTGGTGGATTGGCGGAGTCGGCACAGCAGGAGGTGGTCCCCCACGCATCACTCTGAGAGCCATGTGTTGCTGCGGCACGGATCCCTCCCTCTCCCGTCGCTTCTTCTTCTTCTGTTTGACTCCGTACCCTACATCCGCGTAGCCTGCCGCGGCGAAGGGTGGTTCAACGACTTCTCGAGAGCGATCGTCCGGCAGTCTGAGCTCGACAAGGCTATAGAAGTAGTCCAGCACTTCTGGATATCGCAGCACCGATGCGCGCCAGTCAGCGTCGATACCGCGCTTGAGTTCCGCGTGCGCCTCTGCGATCTGTGTCTGCAGCGTCGCAACGTACATGGGATGTATTGGCGGGTGGCCAGAGTATCGCATGTAGACTTCGTAGTTTGGGAGGGAAGCTAGGTATGACGAGTGCGCTTGCTTGCGTGTCGAGGTCAATCTTTCGAATGCGTTGAGGATGTGCTGGCGAGCATTGTTGATTACCCAGTCTCTACACATAGTCAGCACGTATTTCAAGAAGCACGCCTGGATCATACCGTATCTCAGCCATGCGATCTTCCATAGCACGCGCCTCGGCCTGCTTAACGGCTATCTGTAACCGCTCCGATTCGCAGGAGCATTCAGGATACGGCGGCGCATTGCAGATGGCACAGTTGGGAGCTGCATCCATTTCGTGTGTAGCAAGTTGGTGAGCCACTGCTAATCATCGTCGGTCCAGAGTGGGCCGTACACGTTAAGAAGCTGCCTCGGAGCTCGCTGCGGAGGCAGAGTGAGGCTGCGGTATGGAGTATCGTCGGTTTAAAACAAGCCCTAGGCGAATGCTCGCGCTTGGGTAATCAGGCACAGGCGGTGACAAGTGACATGTTACATGACGAGCAATGTGGATGCCCGTGACGGGGACTGGCTAGCTTCGGGCAGCTTATGGACGGATTGATGGATTGGACAGACTTGCGGATGCGTTATGAGTTGGCAGAATCGCTAAGGTCCGCTCGACACCCAACCTCGCGCTACGCCAAGGCTGTTTATGTCTAACAGTCCAGAGTCCGAGGAGTCGATCGGAAGCTAGGCACATGTCGACTACTATGCTTCACCGTCTTCTGGTGATGGATGACAACCTTGATCGTGAATAAGTCTGTATGGCACATGTCGGTACTCGATCTTCGCATCAGGCTACCCCGCCTTCGCTTCCAGCCTTGTCCGACCCCTCGATGCTCTCCGATCAGGACCAGCGCAAGTGTGCTCCGTATCCAAAGCCATCAAAGACGTGACATGTCAGTGGTATCCATCATCATGGTACCCTGAAAAGCAACGTGAGGCGGATGGATAGGTGCTCTAGGGCGTCATGTATCCGATATTGGCAATTTGCTTGAGCTGATAAATATCAAGCAATGTCGACTCACCGTCAATTCTAATGCCAGCTCGTTCTGATGTATGTCTTGTATGTCTGATCCGTAGGCGGTTGATGTTCCGGATTTGTTGGAGTTTCTGGCGCGAGAGGTAGGCTGAGTGACCTAGGGCACGGACAAACCTGTGCGTGGAATACCTGTACCTTAATGTGAGTGAGATAACTTCTTCACTCCAGAAGTCCTGTACAGCTTCAAAGAAAAAGAGCGACTTCGATACGTTTTTCGGCCATTGAGCTTGGCAGACGCTCTGTTGTTATGTTCTTGTAGGCGCCTCCCTAACACGGCAGACTTCGTGACGTCACGCGTCACTCTTGCCAAAACTCCAGGGCTAGCTTCTTTCATCCGTGAGAACAACAACTCCATACGCTTCTGCGGACGTCAGCTCACACAAACATCATCTCATTGTATAGCATGGGCCCTAACTCAGAAGACATGACAGCTTCCGCGTGTTGGACGGGTCAAGTCCTCCCGAACAGCCGCCATTCGTTCGGTCCCAACTATCAATTTTTCGCCGGCTCTCGCAAACCTCCGATGAACGGTGCCAGTTTGACCGCTTGCTGCATGGCGTGCATATTTCGATACGTGACGGCTACGGTTGCCGATTTCGCATCCTCCGCAAAGTCTTCCGAGCCTGGAGCGGCACCCCATTCTAACATGCAATGCGCCCGAACGGTCTGCTATCTTCTAGATCCTCGACGACCAATTGCAAATCTGTCACAAGAGCTAGAGGATGACTTCCGCCAGGTTCGTGCATCGCGCAGAATCGATGTGGGGTATGTCAGCTTCAGCTTTGCTGGGGTTCAATAGCCCGGTAATATTCGCGTCTCTGTACTGTTGGACTGTCGCAATGTTTTACACTTTCGCAAAACTATGTAAGAAATGGCAAGAGGATGTTGAGCTCTATCAAGTTTACACACACTCCGAACGATTGTTCATCCTCGACCTCTGCATCAAGTATCCAACACCACGATGCCATGCTAATGACTCAGCGGTACGAACGCGTTCTCTATCGGATGACTAGGCCGCTCAAGACAGGCTAATCTGTATCCTGCGCGCGCACGGACTGCGCCCTTCAACTCGACATCTATCAGAATACGGTTTAGCGTCTGTAGAAAGTGTGCAGTGCTTTCTTTGGCATGGTCCTAAAGATGAGTCCAAGCCAGCAGTCATACTTAGCAACCATACTTCCGCAACGACATCTTGCGCCTTATTGTCAAATCTGTACGGAGGGCGCGCATTTGTCTTTCCACCCCTCTCGAGCCATTGACGCCAACCAATACGATTGATCTTGCTTGCAAGATCGTGCGCCACGATCATGGCGACGCCTAGTGCAGCCTTTGATATGGCAGACTTTGTCGATTTCGGAGAAACAGGCATGCCCAATGCGTCACAAGAAGCTTCTCTCGGCGTCTCTGAGACGTCACTACCCCAGAAGTGAGTATGCCGTGCATTCTATCCAATCGTATACTCCGACATGAAACTTGTATACTTGCGGGATAGCAAGGATAACAGTTCATACTTGCCAAGTTCTGCGTGTATGGTTCTGACTCTGACTAGCTGTTTACTGGATGATGACTCTGGAGAGTTGGAGAACTCCGCCAGCATTCAACCCGCAAGTGCAGACTTCAATACAAACTTTAGCAGCTGGCTTCCGACTTATCAAAAGCCTGTCCAGCCTTGCGAGTACTGTCGATCGAAGTCTCTCGAATGCTTTATCTATAACGCCGATGGATCCAAGCGACCCGGATGTTCGCCATGCAACGCTCTGTTTCGACCATGCAGCTTCAGCAACCCTGAGCGTATGCCAGGTATGCGTCAGAGGACTGCGCTGGACACCTTAGATGTGGTCGCAGAGAACGACGTTCGACATCTCGGTGGGCTTACTGGTAAGAAGCAGATGCGATCGCTAGGTCACCTCGGTCCGATCGAAGATGGAAAGGAGGATGACGAAGGTCCCAAGAAGGGTGCCGCAGCTGCTCGCTTTCCACGAGCGGCTGTGAAGGTGCTCAAAGACTGGATGCTCATGCATATTGAACACCCATACCCGACCGACGAAGAGAAGGAGACCTTGAAGCAGCAGACTGGCCTATCGGTCGGTCAAATCTCGAACTGGATGGCGAACACAAGGCGAAGACAGAAGGCTCGGCCCAAGCGAAGCGCTTCGCCGAGTCTTCGACCATCAACAGAAGCTATCAACATCCCAGCAGGCAAGACCTGGGAAAGCATGAGTACGTATTCCGAGTCTGGTTTCACAAAATCGCACAAAACTCTGGCTTCGTCGTCCACCGGAAAGTTCATCACTTTTCGTGTGGGTGACAGGCGTCCAGAAGATAAGAACAAAAACCCAGACACTAGCACCATGGCTCAAATGCCGGTGCTTCAGCAGCAGGAATGTTTCGGTTAACTCTCGACAGATCCGTTCGAACGATGGAAGCACTCTCCTCCTGAGAACGAACCTGCGCCGATGAACGCTATCGCGCACGCTGTTGAGACTTTCGACCTGCCGCAAACGGAGAGCTCAAGTAGCAGCTATCGCAAGGATATATCTAACGATAGCACCGGAAGCTTTTCTGTGTTCAGAGCACCCTCTATTTCCTCTCTGGAGACCCGCCCCACCAACGTGTCCTCTGGCTCCTTTGGATCTCACAACTCAGCCTACTCGCATGGTTCCCGTCACTCTCTTGGTTCGTTGAATAGCTTGAAGTCCAAGGAGAGGCGAAGGCGTCGTCGCATTCCCACACGAGCGCCAAAGGCTGGTTCTGACGAAGGGCAACGTATCTTCCAGTGCACGTTCTGCACTGATACTTTCAAGTCCAAATACGATTGGTAAGTCTGTTCTTATATTCTCGTGATGCAACACGCACTTCGAGCCAACAGTCTCCTTCAACATCAAGTCAAGGCCTCTTTGGGCGTGCCGTGGCCATCCGGTCACCCCATGTGCTCGACATGTGATCTTCTCTTTGCTCAGCCACTACATCTGGGATGCCATGCGGACGTCAAATGATTTATCAAGAGACAAAAAGCTGACACTTCACAGGTCACGGCACGAGAAGAGTCTACACTTGTCACTGGAGAAGTGGTTATGTGCACCTTTAGGCGAGATTGTCGCCGACAAAGCTACGGGAAAGCCCAGATGCGTATACTGCGATGAGCTGGACCCCAGCAAAGAACATCTGGCCACGCACAACCACTCGGCCTGTTATGAGAAGGGCCCGGAATCCCGAACCTTCTACCGGAAAGATCATCTCCGACAGCACTTACGACTCATGCACGGTTGCAAGATGATTTCCAGTATGGACACATGGAAGTCGGAAGCCCAATACATCAAATCTCGTTGCGGCTTTTGCGGAATGAACTTTGACAAGTGGCAAGACCGCCTCGACCATTTGGCGAAAGAGTTCCGCAACGGTGCACAAATGAAGAATTGGAAGGGATGTAGGGGCTTAGATCCCCATGTCGCTATTCACGTTACCAATGCGATGCCGCCTTATCTCATCGCCAACGAAAGCAAATCGCCGTTCCCTTTTTCAGCTTCCAACAGCGCAAGCCTCAAGGTATGTAACACTGTGGCGAGCATGTGGACGCTTCGGGTTGCAAACAACAGGCTGACTTTCCAACAGCAGCTTAATTTATCCGTCGATAGTAGGGATCTTGAATACCTTCTGCCCAACGTTAACGATATCGACGCGACGAATGACCTGTCGGTCGCATACCAAACTGGCAGTGACCCCTCGACTATTGGACCCATTGTCCTGACGACACCGAAAGACTATTCACCTTCCAAGTCTCCCGTTAACAACCCGAATGCAACCTGCTGGGAGATCCTCACACTACAGCTGGGCCGCTTCGCACGAGAGCACATCGCAAAGCATGGTTCCGCGAACTTGACCGACGAGGTGTTGCAAGCTGAGTCGCGTCGTATCCTCTACGATGACGATGATCCATGGAACCAAACATCTGCGGATAACCCCGAATGGCTGAACCTGTTCAAGAAAGCACACGGCATCAACTGCCAAACACCAATAAAGAGTAAGTGAACCCGTCCCCGTATGCTTCCGAAACTGTGGCTTACGTCAAAACAGACATCAACGGAGAGCATGAGATATTTGAAGATCTCGGCATCAACTACGGCTCTGCATTAGATTCAAGCTTCGACATCAACAACTTCGGCTGCACCTCAATGTCTCAAAACGACCCTTTGCGCGCTCTATCTTACGAATTCGCCCTATCCGGCTCGGTAGGCGCCGTCCAAGGACATGCGCGACAACTTTCCTCAGGTCGCCAAACACCTTACAGCGTACCAGGCTTGACCGGATCGCCTACCTCACCGGCATCGTATGCTCCTATCACGACTACTTCGAGCGCAGACAACTTATTAGGCGTCTTCGAGCCCATCTCGGAACTCACGTGCACAAGAGCCGGAAGCGGTGGTCTTTGTTTTGGCGAGCATGGCGAGATCGGCTTCTCGATCAAGACTGCTGGGTCGCCTAAGAGGAGGTACTGGCTCGATGATTCGACTGCGCATATGGCACCGTTTACATCCAGCACCACCGAGCAGCCCGTGTGTCCGACTGTCGGTGAGTCTGCTATGGACGACTTCCAGTTCCCATCGTGGGATCAGTTGCCAGAGGATTTGCAGAACCCAACGAGCAGCGCGGACTTTGACTCTACTATTCCTATTACGGCTTCCGGTGTTAGTATGGCGGCTATTGAGGCTACTGATGCGATGCCTTGGGATGATATGGACTTTGCTATGGATTTGGACACTGATATGGATATGGGTCTCAACTAGGTGTGACATGGTTGATGATCTTTAGGTAGTTTTTTGTTCAAAATCTTCATTCCATTTGATGAAAGAAATTCGCGTTTCCCTTAGGCTTAGGAATGCAGGCGTACACCCAGGGTAAAACGTGTCTTAGCTTTCTGTATTGAGGGTTGACGCATCGATATAGATCTAATGATCATAATTACATCGCATATTCCCTACTATACCTCCCAACACACCAACTCGCTACCAATTTCACTGCTATCATCTACTTGCGTACCTACGGTAGCCGACCTGACCCTGTTGTCGTCCCACGTTCCACAGCCACGCATCTACGCATCAGACCACACGTACGTGGCCGCCTACCCACCGCCCACCCCACTCCGCTCCTGCAATCCACATCCGTAACATACCCAAATCTCCTTCCTTCCTCTTTATCATCTTTTTATAAGATATTAAATTTACGATGACATCATCAATCACCAAACATTATCCTGGCGTTGTGGCGGGTAAGCTTCCCCTCCATCCCTATAACATATCCCTTACTAATTTCAGCCTTCCAGAGTGGTTATCGCGTTAGACTTGAAATCTAATTCCTTAGGGAGCGTCAGTTCGAGTCTGGCCAACGTCGATTGTATTTTTGCTGGGTTGTACGATGTGGAGGTGGGAGATTGGGATAGCTGGGTATGCGGTAAGATTTTTGGGTTAGAGAATACGCGGGGACTTGGACTTGGATCATGACAACGCGTGTATGGACGAATGGTCTTCTTTGGCATCGTTCGAGAATTTCTTTTTTGTAATTTGATCTACATACCATAATTTTTGTACGTCTCTATAGCTCATCTGCGCTGACTCTTTGAACAATAATACCTGACGCCGCGCCGCCTCCGTTGCAAATGACAGCAGCGCCGTATTGTCCAACCTGGAGCTGATGTAGCAGCGTAACCAATATCCTGCTTCCGGAGCTACCCAGCGCGTGTCCCAGAGCAATAGCACCACCCCTTGGGTTTACGTTGTCGGTGCCGAGACCGAGGATCTTGGCGTTGGCCTTGATGACGGCGGCGAAGGCTTCGTTGAACTCCCAGATGGCGATGTCGTTCTTTGAGAGGCCGGATTGCTTGAGGAGTTTCTCCACGCAGGAGGCGGGGGCGACGGGGAAGTCAATGGGGTCTGGGGGGTGTTAGTAAGGGTGGGCTGTAAGAAGAGGACGGGGATACGTACCAACAGCAGCGTCGGCGTAGGTAACGACCTTCGCTAGTACGCGGCTATCCTTGCCGTATTTTTGGGCAATCTCCTTGCTTCCTAGGATCAGCGCTGATGCGCCGTCACTGAGAGGTGAGCTGTTGGCTGCTGTGACTGAGCCGTCTGGTCCCTTTTCGAACGCTGGCTTCAGTGTGGAGACCTTGTCCAGCTTCAGCTTGTTGTACTGCTCGTCCTCAGAGATGATGGTCTCGCCCTTCTTTGATTTGACAGTAACTGGTACAATCTCATCCTTGAAGAGACCGTCCTTGTATGCCTGCTGTGCGCGCTTGTATGTTTCGATAGCATAGTCGTCCTGGTCCTGCCTTGAGACTTCGTACTTCTTGGCGGTGTTCTCCGCACAGTTGCCCATGTGAATTTGGTTGTAAACATCCCACAGTCCGTCAGCGATCAGGCCGTCTTGCAGCTTCTGGTGGCCGAATGCTGGTTGTTGGCTGGCCCTGTTGAGATAGTATGGTACTCTTGTCATGTTCTCCATGCCACCCGCCACTTGCGCTTCCGCTTGTCCGAGTTCGATTGTCGAGGCGGCAATGTTGACTGCCTTAAGACCCGATGCGCATACTTTGTTGATGGTCGTGGCTTCGATGTTGGTGGGCAGACCAGCGAAGATGGCAGCTTGACGCGCGGGTGCTTGTCCAACGCCTCCTGAGAGGACATTGCCCATGTATACGGCATCGATCGAGGATATTGGAACTTTTGACTTTTCGAGGGCGGACTTGATGGCCGTGGCACCGAGTTGGGTCGCGGATACGGTTGTGAAGTTGCCATTGAACTATGGCGTGTTTAGCAGCTGACATGGCTTGGGATGATGGTCTACTAACCACTGCAGTTGGTGTTCGGCTGGCACTTATGATGTATGCATCTCGAATTTCCTTCCTTTGCGGCGCGGAGCTGCTAAATTGTCTTTGGATGCTGGCCAGCCGTTGTTGAGGCCGCGAAGCCACTCTCATGGATGTGCGAAAGGCAGAAGACGACATGGCTGAACGACGATATTCCAAAAGTTCGAGCTGTTCTGAGAATGCGGAGAAAAGGACTCTAACGAGCAGAAGCGTGGTTGTCACATGGCGGCAACAGTTCCGTGGCTAAGATGCGGGCGGCGGGATGTGGAGGATACGCGCTCTGACGTCTATGCCGAGGTTCGGCAGCACACGGCACCACCCGGCTTAGTCGCTCTCATGGACTCTCCTCCTTCCCCATACCAAGTGGTGAACCGACAGACGTCCAAGCTTGATTTTAGTTCATCACGACCCCTGACCTTCTGTATTTTAGTGTCGACGCAGCCGACTACATCTATCACACTCTGGAAACTGCCTCACCGTCCCACGCAAACATGCTTCACTCTAGCCAACATGTCACAAACGCGAACATATCACGAACCTCTCCACCATAGCCACGCGTGAACACGACGGCCGCGCAGTATGGTGTATCGTACGGATTGGTTCGTTAGAGCTCAGCTGGAATACAAGACCCACTTCTACTCTTAGGAAGCTCGCATTGTGTGTCTGTAAAGGGAATTGTTGATTGAGTACAGTCACCCGCATCATGACAGTTGACAGGATTGTCGTAGGAACAACCGTCTCACGGTTTGTGAAATTCTGTTACCACAACATTTATTGACGCACATTCCTCTTCTGCTCACCGGTCAGCTCCCGTCGGTCACGCGTCCATACCGGAGACCATTGCTTCGAAGCTGTTTTGTCATCTCCCTACTATCCGTCTCTTCTTTTATTCGCCATTGAGATCTCTTCACCGCCTGTATGTGCGGGTATCTGCACGATTGTACCTGCATCAACATCGTGATACTGCGATTGCTTGGCCACGTTGGCTGCTGTGCCACGCCAGACAAGCGGGGCTCTACTGTACCTTGCAGTCTCCCAGAGTCATTCGGCTATGATGAGTACGTTACCCGTCACATCATGTATGAGATCATCCGGATATTCACAGGGACATGGTCTGTTGTCACATCCGAGATCAGGCACAGCCACTTTAGTTTGGATTGCAGCATCGTACAGATATCAGCGCCATCTAGCTTCAGCTGCGATTTCGTACACAAATCCGGAAGGAAGTACAATTGGCTTCTTGAGGCGTCCTCGTCGTCTATAAGAAGTGGGTAAAGGAACGGTTTGTGAAAAAAACTAAGCTCAAGCAACTCTTCCAAGCTTCCTTACAATCAAGCCACTGTTACCAAATCTTCTATCAACTTCCAGCCCGATCTCGAGATCTATATCGCGAAGATGCACCTCCCAACCCTCGCCCTGATGGCCAATACCGCTTTCGCGGCTAATATCGTCATCAACAACAAGTGCCACGAACCCGTCTGGGTATCAACCGTTCAGAAGGAGGCAACTCCGCTGAAGAAGATCCAGCCCGGCGACACATGGTCCGAAGCACAGAAACCTGCTCTCGACGGCGTTGGTGTCAGCATCCAGATCATCAAGCAGGACCACATTTCCGACGCGCCAATTCTGAACTTGCAGTACTCTTTGGGAGAACATTTGTGGTACAGCATAAGCAGCGTGAACGGTGAAGCTTTCAAAGACGAAAAGCTGCGCATTCACAACACCGCTAGTCTGCCTGTTACAGAGATTGTTTGGGTCGGTGATCACAGACCAGAGGGTACAGAGGCCTATATGGATGGCGAGGCAACGTTGACGCTGGAGCTGTGCGATGACTTTGCGAGACGCTTCAGAGCTTAGTCTGAGGATGATGGCTGGAGATGGTGGTGTCTTGGGGCGACTGGTAATGGCTGCGGAGGGGTGCGATTGACAAGGCGAGGTGGGATAGGTTATGGAGCGAAGTATCGTAATGGACACTATGCAGCGAGGTGTTACGTAGGGTATCAGAGAGGACGTCACTCCTTTAGGGTTTAATCATTGTAGGATACAATTCAAATGGGTTCATTCCGGTTGTATCAAATATCGCTCTTCCGTGTTGGATCGTCCAAGCTGTCTGAAAACCATAATCTAATTTTGCAATAAATCGTATCTACCTGTATCGTGCATGTCGAGCTGTCTGAGGCGCAAAGACAGACCTCTTTTGGGTAGGTTTTGTTCGGTTCATCTGAATTGGTACTAGCGCCGTTCCTGAACGCTAGACCCTGGCAGGTGTGTGATGCTCGATTGCCGACCCTTCGCTCTTGCAAACTACATCCCGCCAGCCGCACCTCTGTTGCACTGCTTCGTCAAACGCGCAGCTGTGATCTGTCATATTCCTAGTGTCATACAGCGAGCTGACTCCAACTTCCTTTCAACGCAGCAAACAGACCCGAGCATACGCGCAGCGCTGCGACTACCCTGCTCTAGACGATCAACGCCTCCTAGACCCTCGACGGCATCACCTATCGCCATGGTTCGAAATGGCAGTCCGTCGCCGGCGGACAACTTTCCGCTGGGTCATTCTGCGACATCCCCTCAACCACAACCTTCCAAGCGCGACAAACGGCGCAACATGCTCGCCGAGAAGCTGGCAGAGATGATGGCGACCTTCTCAGACAATCGGGACAGTCATTACAGAGCCCAGCTCGCCGCGCTCCAAGCCGACATCAACCTCATTATGAAGGCGGACCCGTATGCGAACCAGCCGCTCGAGGATAGCAATGAAGAGGCCGTGGAGCTCGTTTCGCAGATCATGGGGAACAACGTACCTACCGCACCGAGCGCGGGTACCGATTACATTGCGCAATGTGGAAAACACTATTCGCGCTTTGTCGACGCCGTCAATGATGCGATGGAAGAGCGCGACTACAACCTGACCATGCTCTGGGTGAGTCCCACGGCTTCCTGCCGTATTGGTACGAGACGCTAACCGCCAATTACGCAGAACAAGCACGAGAACACGAAGAACGAGATCGAGAATTCGCACTACTACAAAGTCCAAATCGCCGAAGAAGAACACAAGCTGCTCGCCGCCACCATCCGCGAACGACTGGTCGCAAGCATACAACAACGGACAAACAGGCTGAAGCGAGAGAAGGAGCAATTGGACCTGTCTGACAGCAACGCGATGCTCCTCCATCCCAATCAGTTCAGCATAGGGCATCCGGCAAGTCCTGGCGGGCCGCAAGCGCCAAGAAAGACCCGGAGGACGGGGCACAAATTTGGCGACGCGGAGGAGCTGGCTGCTGCTACTGAACACAAGAGGAAGCGCAAGCTGTATGAGGACCAGGACAACGATTCGCCAGGTCCATCCGGCCGCCCCACCGAGATGGGCATCGGCTCACCCTTCCGCGAAGCCAAAGCGCGCACCGTCAATGCCCAGTTCGAATCGTCTGCATACTCGCTCGAGCGCCTCTTCAGCGAGAAGGAGCTCAACATGGCCATGAACCAGGCCACCATGGCTGCGTCGCACTTTTTCGCCAAGATGAAGAACACAGAGGCCGCACCGCAGGAAGCCGCAACAAACGGCAACACCAATGGCGCAAACGGCGAGCACGCATCCGAGAACGGCGACGCCATGGACCAGGACCAAGACTCAGACGACGTACCAGGCGCAACCGACATGATGCGCCAACACTCGTCGAACCCACACGCGACCCGCGGCGCCACACGCTCAGCTCTGAACCCCACGGCGGCTATAGTGAGCGGCCAAATACCTCCGTTCATCTACAACCCGCCGTTCGTGTTAGATGCTAAGATCTTCCAGAAGATCAACGCCTCGGCACCGCCACCACCTCCCCTCGGCGCACACGACGTCGAGCAAGATCTGAAGCTGATGCTTAGAGACGCACCACCTGACGACGACATCAACGAAAAACTCCTACAAGCCGCATGCAACCCCGTCAAAGCGCGCGACTACCAAGTCCAGCCACCAAACTTCTCGGAACCCGTCAATGAGATGACGAGTGCACTTAGGAGTACAGCGCCCCATCTCGAGGTTGGTACTAGCTTAGGCGGTGTTCCGATGAGTGCGCAGAGTAGTATGGCGGGTTGGTCAGATGCTGGTAACAATACACCTCTGGGCCGTTATGGAGAGAGGGACTCGCTGGCTGTTGGCGGCCACGGCGGCGGTGTTGTGATGACAAGGACCGCAAGTGGTAATGGAAGAGGACGTGGCCGGGGACGTGGAGGTGGAGGGGGAAACTGAACGTGTTCCTTGCGGCTTACACTACAGTAAGAGTGAGTAAATGGAGACATACTACGCTGATGTAGGCGTCTGGCTTGCTTGCTTTCTGTGGTGGTAGAGGACATGTTCAGTCTTTCCCTTGAGTAGGGTCCCACAGTGTATCAGGTTTCGCGTTACGGTCTCGCACTATATACCCACGATTGGCGTTCGGGCTCGCGGTGCATCGGGGTGGTGCATATATGCTTATATGTCTTGTTTGATTTCCTTTGTTGCATGTCCGCCTACATAGACATTTGGGTGGAGTTATTTGTTCATAGTGCTTGTATTAAGTATATGTTATGACTTGACTTGCCTTCTCAGCTTTACTCTGCCTGTGTGCCACAACTTCCCAAGATGAGCTATGCTGAATGAGATCTCGAGATGAGCTAAATTTCTTGCTGCGGAATACGCTGGCAGAATGGTCACAGTGCGGGCTCGTGGGCATGTACCCTAAACGTATGTACTGGCTGACTTCCGTATGAGTTTACTACGTTGAAGGAGACAACACTCTGCAGTTTACATTAGCATGAGAACGAAAGTTAGAACCAAGAAGTCTATCTACATCGCGTTTAAAGAAAGATTGCTTTTTCTCTTTCGTCTGTAGTGACCAGGTGTTCTATTGTTTCATAAGATGAGGTGAGCGCTTGACAAGGTAGACAACCACGATCCCTTCCGCGTCATGTATGATCGATCATATACATGTCATCAGATCAGTGTTCTCAACATCACAAAGCAAAACAAGACTCAGTATATGAAGTATTCTCTCAATTCTCTCTACACAGGATATGGAAATCCCACTATTAGAGTACATGCTATACCACCCAACTTTTCCTCCGAATCATTGATCGTTATTCATCCGATGCATTCAGTAAAAACCGTGAAATGGGCTCAATGTTGGCCGTGAAACGCCGTGAACTACCACCTAAGAAAGAAGAAGTCTATGCTTGAAGATGCACAAGGAAAGAAGACGAAGAGACTGCAGTGAAGCGATCCGCTTAGTCGACCTCCTCGACAGTGGGGCCGTCGTCGCCGCCGGCACCACCTGGGGCACCGCCGCCGGGCATACCACCACCGGGCATACCGCCGGGCATGCCACCCTCACCACCAGCTCCGTAGAACTTCATCATGATGGGGTTGGCGACACCCTCAAGCTCCTTCTGCTGGGACTCGTACTCGTCCTTGGTGGCAGTCTGGTTGTCGTCCAACCACTGGACGGTCTTGTCGATCTCGGCGGTGAGCTTCTGCTTGTCGCCGGCGTCGAGCTTCTCGTCAACCTTGGAGTCGCTGAGGGTGTTACGGAGCGAGTAGGCGTAGGACTCGAGAGCGTTCTTAGCAGAGATACGGGCAGCCTCAGCCTCGTCCTCAGCCTTGTACTTCTCAGCCTCAGCCAACATGCGCTCGATCTCCTCCTTGGACAGACGGCCCTTGTCGTTGGTGATGACAATCTTGTTGGTCTTTCCGGTACCCTTCTCGAGGGCAGAGACGTTGATGATACCGTTGGCGTCGACGTCGAAGGTGACCTCGATCTGGGGAACACCACGAGGAGCAGGGGGGATACCGGTAAGCTCGAACTTTCCGAGCAGGTTGTTGTCCTTGGTGCGAGCACGCTCACCCTCGTAGACCTGGATAAGCACACCAGGCTGGTTGTCGGAGAAGGTGGAGAAGACCTCGGACTTCTTGGTGGGGATGGTGGTGTTGCGCTTGATGAGAGCAGTCATGACACCACCAGCAGTCTCGATACCGATGGAGAGCGGCGCGACGTCGAGAAGCAGGATCTCGGAGGTGGACTTGGAAGATGTGTCACCAGACAGGATAGCGGCCTGGACGGCAGCACCGTAGGCGACAGCCTCGTCGGGGTTGATGGACTTGTTGGGCTCCTTGCCGTTGAAGAAGTCGGAGACCATCTTCTGGACCTTGGGGATACGGGTGGATCCACCGACCAAGACGATCTCGTGGACGGAGGACTTGTCGATCTTAGCATCGCGGAGGACACGCTCGACGGGCTCCATGGTGGAGCGGAAGAGGTCCTGGCAGAGCTCTTCGAAACGAGCACGGGTGATGCTGGTGTAGAAGTCGATACCCTCGTACAGGGAGTCGATTTCGATGGAGGTCTGCGCGGAAGAGGACAGAGTGCGCTTGGCCCGCTCGCAGGCAGTTCGGAGACGACGGAGAGCACGAGCGTTGGAGGTGAGATCCTACTGAAAGTTAGCGGAAATTCATGGGAAAATTGGGTTGAGGAATACAATGTGCCTACCTTCTTGTGCTTGCGCTTGAATTCGTTTGTGAAGTGGTTCACAAGACGGTTGTCGAAGTCCTCACCACCCAAGTGGGTGTCTCCGGCAGTGGACTTGACCTCGAAGATACCCTCCTCAATGGTCAAGAGGGAGACATCGAAGGTACCACCACCCAAGTCGAAGATGAGGACGTTGCGCTCACCCTCGGTCTTCTTGTCAAGACCGTAGGCGATGGCAGCAGCGGTGGGCTCGTTGATGATACGGAGGACGTTTAGGCCGGCAATGAGACCAGCATCCTTGGTAGCCTGACGTTGCGAGTCGTTGAAGTATGCGGGGACAGTGACGACAGCGTTGTTGACGGTGCCACCGAGGTAGGACTCGGCGGTTTCCCTCATCTTGACCAGAACCATGGATGAGATCTCCTCGGGTGTGAAAGTCTTCTCCTCGCCCTTGAACTCGACCTGGATGACGGGCTTGCCGCCCTTGTCGATGACCTTGAAGGGGAAGTGCTTCATGTCGGCCTGGACCTCAGCGTCGGCGAACTTGCGGCCGATGAGGCGCTTGGCGTCGAAGACGGTGTTGATAGGGTTCATGGCGACTTGGTTCTTTGCGGAGTCACCAATGAGACGCTCGGTGTCGGTGAAGGCAACGAACCTGGAACGCGTTAGCAATGGTCGTGACTATAGGCCGGAAGTGATGACTTACGAAGGTGTTGTCCGGTTACCCTGGTCGTTGGCGATAATCTCAATGCGGTCATCTCGGAAGATACCTACGCAAGAGTAGGTAGTACCAAGATCGATACCAATCGCGGGTGCCATGATGTCGATATGTGTGTGTAGTGGGGTATCAAAAAGGAAGAAAAGGTCGTAGTATGCTCACAAGTCGGTGACTTATAAAGGTGAGGCTTTCGCGGTGTAGTGTGGTTTGTGTTGTGTAGTGGAAAGAGAAACAGTCCCAAGGCGTGGGCAGACGAAGTTTTTGTATCGCCTGGCAGCGTGGTGTTTCTACAGAATTCCAGCGCCTTCGACGCGCCAAGCAACCAACCAGAACCTTCCCGCAAGCTCGCGCAAGCTCTGCGACCCACTAGAAACAGCTGCCTTGCACGCTTTCCGGGGGCAAATGCCTAATTCTTGTCATCCTGGCTCCACTCGCGGCTGATTGTACGCTGCATTATTGCGCCCAACGCCTTGTGTTCGGGGACTGTGAATCTTCGTGCATCTTCTTTCGCCGCCGCTGCAAAGGGCGCTGGCCGCCGCCTTGCTATGACGGAGGCCTCACCCCACCAAAGCCTCAAATGGGTGACATAAGCGAGCTGCCCCGCCATGAGCGGGCCCATATGTCATTCCGCCCATAGCAACGACGGGTAGTTTCAAGTAGCTTCCAGATGTCCAGGATTTTTTCAACCGCCGCGATCGAGTGAAGTCACCGCGTCGGCGTTTGCTCTACCAACACCGCCAACTTCCTGTTTGATCGCACACAACACGTACCAACAGGCTTGTTGTTCTGACTTGTACCTTGCCACGCATATCCTTTGTTCGCGGCCTAGACAAAAGAGCTTCGACGTACTCGCGGCAATCACGTGTTGCTTGGGTACTTGAGACGCCCGATTTCGAAGTGTATAGTAGCTCGCGGCTCCCGACAAGCATATTCTGGAAGTAATACATCATGTATTGCATGATGGAATTCGTTTCCAAGTAACACTACGGATGACTCAAGAGCGTGGTTGGTTAGCGATTCAGCCGAAATCAAGCATCCTCCTGGTTACGCTCTTCTGGTGCCGCTACTTCCCTGATGCTGTCTACGACATTCTGACCTCAACAGTGTCGTGGCTATTGACGTCGCACACTGCACAGTAATGACGCTTCTCAGCCGTGACCTAAACTTGACGCGGCAGAGTTTGCGGATGCTGGGGAACATTATTGATGCGTTGGAGGGCTTCATGTTTTTTGGTTGAATGAAACCGTAGGGCGCTTTGGTAGTAATAATGGCACTACTAATCTTCCGCTCGCTGTGCCTTACGAGCTGGGAAAAACAATTCCGTTGCAGATTACATTGTGTTTCCTTCTAGCTTCTGCTACGGGATCTGGAGCTCAGGAGGTTTTCACTGAATTCGCGCAGGTTGATCACGTAGTCAAACCACATGCCTGGTGTATACGAGGTAACTGAGCGTCGGCGCGCTGTGGGTATTCGCTCAATGTCATCGCCAGGGTCTACTCTTATAAACTATCCTTTTGTACAGTCCCAAGTCATACAGCCTCATATATCGTACATCTGTCTTCCGTCTTCCTACTGCTCCAAATCCTCCGCCGCCCTACTAAACGCGTTTCTAACCTCCTCTCCAGGCCCCCTCTTCCTCCAAATATTCTCACTATTCGGCCCACTTTTGAGCTTCTCCTCCTTCTCTCTATATCGATCCTGAATCATCCTCTCCTTAACGTCCTGCCCACTATAACTGTTCTTGGTGCGCATGCAGAACCAGAAGTCGTTCCAGTGGTCGGAGCAACTGCGTAATTGACCGTAGCGATATAGGTCGTTGAAGTGGCCGCCTAGTGAGGAGCAGTAGAAGGCGCTGTCAAAGGCGGCGCGGCAGGACATTGAGCGCGGGAGGGTGGGGTCGTATTCTTCGGGGGTGTCGGCATCGTTGGATGGAGTCTGGGGTTTCAAAGGAGAGGACGAGGGCGTGTTTGTGGAGAAGGAGGGTGGTGCGAGGTGTGGGTGGGCGGCGTAGAAGTCGGGGTCGTGGGGTGCGGAGTCGGGTTGCTGGCGTGGAGGGTTCTCTATTGTTGGTGTAGGCGCATCGCTGGGTTTTTGTACGGGTGATGCTGTGGTGGATATGGTTCGTGGCTGTTGATTCGTGGAGGCATCTGCGCCTGAGCTTGAGAAGGGCCACCAGGTCATTGTGAGGTGTGCGCGTGTGTATAGGAACCGGCGTGGTAGGTATGCGAGAGACGCGATATTCGGAAGACTTGCGATATGAACTGCAGCAGTCAATGGTGTGGGTTGTCGCGCGCCGAAATCCCGGCAAACGTTTAATCGATATACTGCGACTAGTGATAATGCAATTGGTTGAGGCTAGTACGTTGTAGCTCGAATGTTCAGACGTCTAGGCTCTGGGTGCAATCCGCGGGGCGTGAGGCTTGGGCAGAAATTCAAGAAATCCGCAAGGAGAATGCACACTTCCGGCGAATCAGACTCGAGACGGCCCGCACACGTGAGCGGGAAGACTATACGCTACGTCATGCATCGCACTTGCAGCTGCCTTGGAGATCCCTCCAACTCCACCTTTACGCGTCTTGTGCGTCGTCTAATTCCTCGGTTGTGCCTACACGACGTGTTGCCTTTGCGTTTGTATTCTTTTCTCGACACTCCCTACGGCCTGTTAGCGATCGCCGTCTCGGTAATATTCAACGCAGACAACACCCAACCTGTGCCGTATCCGCCCCACCTTGTGTTTACCACCTACAACCGCCCCGAACGTGGCATCAACGCATTGACGGCCGTTCCCTATGACTCCACGCAGCCCTACGACATAACGATACCCCTCCGCCTCCGACATACCCTACACCCCACCTACCTACCTACCTACCTACCCCCTTCGAAGCCCGGCCTGGGTAACGGCCCCCCACCGCCACCATGCTTGAGGGACTCGTGTCAACTCTGCTGAATCGGTTCTTGGGCATGTATGTCCAGAACTTCGATCCAAAGCAGTTAAACGTCGGAATCTGGTCTGGCGATGTCAAGCTACGGGACCTCGAGCTCCGTCGCGAAGCCCTAGACCAGCTACGCCTACCGCTGAACGTTGTCGAAGGACACCTTGGCTCACTCACACTATCCATACCCTGGTCGAATCTACGAGGAAAGCCACTGAAGGTCAACATCGAAGATGTTTTCCTGCTGGCAGCGCCCAAGGAGGATGCAGACTACGACGCTGAAGAGGAGGACAAGCGTGCGCACGCCGTCAAGATGGAGAAGCTCGACAGCGCAGAGCTGCTGAAAGAGCGGAACACAGAAGGTATGAGCGCGGAAGAGCAGCAGAAGAATCAGAGCTTCACGGCGAGCTTGATCACTGCGATCGTCGACAATGTCCAAATCACAGTCAAGAACATCCACATCCGATACGAAGACTCAATCGCCGACCCCGGACACCCGTTCGCCCTTGGTGTCACCCTCGCAGACTTCAGTGCCATCAGCACCGACGAGAACTGGAAGCCGACCTTCATCCAGGGTACATCCGCCTCGACACACAAGCTGGCCACGCTTGGCTCGTTAGCAGTATACTGGGATACAGACGCGAAGCTCATTGGAACTGGAAAGGGCAGCCAGAGTAGCGATGAGCAGCAAATCGACCGAGCAGACTTCATTGAGCGCGCAAAGGGCATGATTGCACGAGGCGATAACCCAGACTTGGGTGACCACCAGTTCATTCTCAAGCCCATCAGCGGTCGCGCTGGTATAGAGATGGACAAGACCGGTAAATTGGACGTCGCAAAGATGAAGGCTCGACTCCTCTTCGACGAGCTTGGTTTCATCATCGATGAGGATCAATATCGCGACGCACTCATGCTGGTCGACCTGTTCCACTACTTCATCCGCCATCAAGAGTACAAGAGGCTGCAGCCCAAGTCATCACCTAAGGAGGATCCTGCTGGCTGGCTTCGCTTTGCCGGTCAGGCTGTGCTCGACAAGATTCACGAAAGGAACCGGCAATGGAGCTGGGATTACTTCAAAGAGCGCCGCGACGACCGCATACGGTACATTGAGCTCTTCAAGAAGAAGAAGCGCGAGGAGAAGCTCGATGCTACAGAGGCTGAAGATCTTGATAAACTCGAGCGAAAGCTTAAGTATGAGGACCTCCGTTTCTGGCGCTCGCTGGCCCGCAATCAGCTGCGCAAGGAAAATGTCGGTGTCAAGAAGCCGCCGCCCAAGCAAACCTGGACTTCTTGGGTGTGGGGAAGTAAACAGGAAGAATCCCATGAGGACGAGAACACTCAGATGAGCGAACAACAGAGAAAAGAGCTGTACGACGCCATTGACTGGGACGAGAAGAAGGCCATTACCGAGTCGGTGGATATGCCTCGCGAATACGTCAAGTTGGAGGTCAATATGAGCCTGCGCACTGGCAGCTTCACACTCAAGCGCGATCCCCATGGCAAATCGAACGAGATACTCCGGCTACTCTTCGACTCGTTCAGCACTCAATTCCTGCAACGTACAGATTCCATGTTCGTCAAGGTCGCGCTTGAAGGCATGCGCCTCTACGACGGTACCACAGAAGGCAGTCTTTTCCCTCAAATCATTACAGTCAAGGATGCACCGCCTGTGCCGGACGACAAGCGTATCGAAGAGCTGAACGATGATGAATCACCCAAGGACGATGATGACGACGAGGAAGGTGATGAGAAAGAAGACCCGTTCTTCTTCCTCACGTTTGAGAACAACCCACTCGACGGAGCGGCCGATACAAACTTGACTATGAAGTTGAAGGGAATGGAGTTCGTCTACAACCCCAGGTTCGTCGTTGAGGTGGCCAAATTCTTCAAGCCTCCAGAGCGACACATGGAGTCTATCGGCGCACTCATGGAGACTGCCGGAGCGACCGTCGAGGGCATCCGGCAACAGACGCGCGCAGGTCTGGAATTCGCCCTCACCGAGCATAAGACCATCAACGCGCAACTCGACCTACAAGCCCCGCTTATCATTGTACCAGACTCTGTCACGAAAAAGTCAAGTAACTGTCTCATCGTCGATGCTGGTCATGTGAGCGTAACGAGTGAACTTGTTGACAAGGACACCCTTCGTGACATACAATCGAAGCAAAAGCAGCAGTATACTGACGAGGATTTCCGAAAGCTGGAAAAGCTCATGTACGACAAGTTCAACCTGGCACTCCACTCGACGCAAGTGCTCATCGGGCCATCTATTGAAGAGACTCGCGCGCAGCTTGAACAAGATTCCAGCTTGAAGAACTACCACATTGTCGACCGGATCAACATGGACTTCAAGATTGAGATATGCATTGTCCCCAAGGCGTCAGATCTGACCAAGTTCCGTGTGTCTGGAAATTTGCCGGTGCTCCACGCATCGGTATCGGACTCCAAGTACAAGAACTTAATGAAGCTGATTGATGTTGCTATACCCAAGTTTGATAACGACGCACCCAAGAAGCCAGTAATCGAGGGCGCGAAGGGTGCATCCAACCTCAAACCCACAAGCGATGCCAAGGCTGATTCAGACCCTCTTGGACGGACGCGCTCAAAGTCATTTGCATTTGCTGCACAAGAGCATGAGCTCGTCATGGAAGAGGAAGGTCACAGTGAAACAGACGAGAAGTTTGCAGATGCCCCGGAGAAGCGAGATGAGACGAAAGAGGCACATCTACATCAGCGCAACTTCGAATTCAAGTTCACTGTCGACAAGCTCAAGGGTTCGCTTTACAGGGCAGATCCGGAGGGCAGAAAATCTGATCAACTGCTGGTTGAGCTCATCGCAGAAAGCTTCGATCTTGATTTCTATCAAGAGGCTTTCGAGATGGCTGCGGATGTTCGTCTCAAGAGCTTGGCTGTGGAGGACCACGTCGAAGAGTCTACCATTCCCGAATTCAAGAACATCATCTCGTCCGAAGATGTTTCTGCAGACGAACAGAAGGATCTCTTTACGCTCAAGTTCGTCAAGGTGAACAAGGAGTCTCCGGAGTTCCAAACCAAGTACGAGGGCATTGCGACCAACTTGGACGTGGCTGTCTCAACGATCAACCTGATAGTAACCAGACGGACGTTGCTCACGCTACTGGACTTCGTTCTCGATACATTTACCAATCCCGGCCAGCCGCAGAATCAGCAAGCTCAGATAACGGATAAGGAAGCAGAACAAGCCGTTGCTGTCCAATCTCAAGCAGAGCCCGACAAAATACGCATCCGAGCAGAGATGAAGCGCATTGCCGTTGTTTTGAACAACGACGGAATACGCTTAGCTACGCTAAGTTTGAACTCTGGAGATGTTGGCATCTTCCTCAGCGGCAAGACGATGCGCATTGGTGGACGACTCGGAAATCTGTCGCTCATCGACGACATCAACCAAGGTGTCTCTGAAGAGTCATCTCTCCGTCAACTTGTGACCATTGAGGGCAAGAATCTGGCCGACTTCAGTTACGAGACCTTTGATGCGGACGCGGAGAGCTACCCTGGATACGACATGGCTGTCACGCTCAAGACGGGATCTATCAAGATCAACTTCCTTACGGAGCCTTTCCGTAAGATCATGGAGTTCGCTGTCAAGTTCGGTAAGATGCAAGCCATCTTCAATGCAGCTCGCCAGGCTGCTGCGAACCAGGCAACACAAATCCAGCAACGAGCGACCAAGTTCCACTTCGATATCACCATCAGTACGCCTATCGTTGTATTCCCACGAATGGTGGTCTCCGACAAGCCGGATCGCGATACTCTTACTGCAAACTTGGGAGAGATCTATGCCAAGAACAGCTTTGTCCCTCTTGACGACTCCAAGGGCGCCGAGACCGCGAACAAGCTTTCGGCCGGTATCAGGAACATCAAGCTCACATCGAAGCTGCACTACGATGAGAACCGTTCTGAGGAGCTACAGCTCATCGACAAGGTCGATCTCGATTTCAACATCACCATGGTTGAACATAAGGCTGGACAGAAGCGACCGGACCTTGAGATTGACGGGTCAATGTCAGACATCAACCTGATGCTCACACCTGAACAAATGAAGTTCGCACTGGAACTGTCTCGCTCAATACCCGCAGCGTTTGCCACGGAGTCTGACGCTATAGACCAAGATGTGCAGGCCGAACTACCTCGCGCGACGACGGAGCCTGCGCGACGACTCACGGACAAGGACAACACAGAAGAAGACTCTTCAAAGAATGTAGTTTCATCCCAAGGACCAGAGCTACAATCTGACGGCGACAAATGGACGAAGCTGGACTTTGTCTTCAAGGTCGGCACCATCGGCTTGGAGCTCGTCAAATCTGAGGATGGCCAGCCTGTAGGCGATGTTGAGGCCGCTAGCCTCTCGAAGTTCTCCCTCAACGACACGAACGTCAAGGTTCGCATGATCAGCGATGGAGCGATGGAGGCCGAACTAGTTGTGCAATCTTTCACGATTCGAGACAGCCGTACGCAAGGAACCAAC